ATGTACTTGGAGACGAAAATAGAAATGACTTCTGATCACATACCAGTTGAAGCCACCTTAGGCACCAACAAAAGCAATGAAAAAAACATAGAAAAGTACAAACTGGGCAGTATTTAAAGACGCCATTCTTAATAATCCCCTGGATATCACTAGCCTCAAGACGACAAAAGATATCGATCATGCGATAGATAATTTAACTAATTGTATCAAAATCGCTTATAATGCAGCCACAAAGAAAATCCCCTGGGATTATGACTCAGATAAACTCCCGAGAAGAATTCGCGACAAAATTAAAGATAGAAATAAAATACGCAAAAGGTACGTTACGATACATCCTGGGATCCCAGCATCAAAAGGAATCTAAATAAATTAAATAAAGATATCTGAAAAGAAATTAGCGCTTTCCGAACAGAAAAATGGAACGAAAAAATTAGTAGTTTTAATGAGCCTAACAATGAATTCTGGACATTTGCCAAAAATCTCAAAAGAAAACCTGCATGTAATAAACCTCTGTATGGAAATAATACTATAGCCATGACAACCAAAGATAAAGCGGATGTTATGGCACTGCACTTAGAACAACAATTCAGGCCCAACTTGGATCCTTGTAATCTCAATTTTGCTAATGATACTTGCAATTTTGTTAATGACTGGCTTAGCGGTCCCAACGTGAAAAACAAAACGGACTATACTTCTTCCAGAGAAATTCAAGAGATTATTCGCAGACTAAAAAACAGAAAAGCCCCTGGCTTTGACGAGATTACTAACATCTCCATCAAAAATCTACCACTGAATATTATTGCAAAACTTACTAGCATACTGAATACATGTCTCGAAAATAACTACTTCCCAGGAAAATGGAAGACTGCAAAAGTGATCCTGCTTCCCAAACCGGGAAAAGACATAACAAAGACTGATGGGTTTAGACCCATCAGTCTACTCCCAGGCTTCAGTAAAATTTTTGAAAGAGTGATTCTTAAAAGACTAGAGCCCTATTTCTGCAAGATTCCCCTGGAGCAATTCGGTTCCAAAAGAAACTCAGTACCACAAAAGCAGCTAGTCAGACTAGCAAAGTTCGTCGGCGCTGCCATACACAATAATCAGACCGTTGCCTTACTCATGCTAGACATGGCGAAAGCTTTCGACCGCATCTGGCATGAGGGGCTTATTCAGAAGCTTATTTCTCTCGACTTTTTTTGCTCATACACTACTTTACTACGAACAGAAACTTCTTTGTAAACATTGGAAAAGACAACTCTGACAGCAAAAAGCTCAATGCCGGCGTCGCACAAGGATCCGTTCTAGGTCCTGTTCTATATATTTTCTAGGTTGCAGACTTCCCCAGAATGAGAACCAAAGAAAATTTTTTCCTTGGATGTTACGCCGATGACACGGAGATTGCGATCAAATCCTTTAACTCTGATAATGCTATTAAAAACATGCAAAAATTCACCCCTGAGATCAAAAATTGCTGCAAAACATGGCGCATAGCCATTAACGCAGAGAAATCGCAATCGATAAAAAGCAATTGAGAACTCCTTCCAAAAGAAGCCTAAAATTTTTTAATATTGCAGCCCCTACAGTTAAAGAAGCCACGTATCTCGGCACTGATTTAAACAGACAGTTTAGATCAGACCACATTATTAAAGTCAGAAGTAAGTTGCACCATGTCATGAATCATCTTGCACCCTTACTTGGCAAATCTTCAAAGCTTGACCTTTCACGAAAAAGACATTTGTATACTGCCATAATAAGGCCTATTTTATCTTATGCCTCCCCCTCATGGGCGACATCACTGAAAAAGACATTTACAAGCTACAAGTATTACAAAATAAATTTATGCGACTCATCACTAATGCACATTATTTTGTGTCCAACAATACCCTACATAGGGATCTTAAATTAGAAAAAGTTGAAAACTACCTGCATAAAATGAACAAGAAATTGTTTCGATAAAGCACTGAACTGTGACTTTCTACAAAGCTTCAAAGTTTTCGATTATATACCTCTGAAAGAGGACAGTACTATCAGACCGTAAGCGGCCCACCTCACCCGTGACGCTAACTTTCCTACTTAAGATCGCACAGGATTTCAAAATGTTGTATATAGTGTTAATATTTTTCTCTTATTTACGCTTATTTGTATTTATATTATTTGTATATCAGTATTTTCATATTTTTATTCTTGTATTCATGTACTCTTAAGATATCAGATGTTGGTATTAAAATTATTTCATTGTGATCCTTTTGTTTTCCTGCCACTTACATATCACGAGCCCACCAGCGGCCGAGCGGTAAAGTCGCTGAACACTGGTAGTTCGGTCCAAGGTTCGAATCCCGCGAACGAGCTGGCTGCATGGGTGTTTCATGGTTTTCCCCATGTGTAACGTGCATACAAGCCAGTTTCCCTTAGAAAGTCCTCCACGAAGGCATCCCTCCCCCTTAGGCAGATAGCCCTAGTGTGCTTTGCCATAATTAAATACACCACACCACCACATATCACGAACCCATACTTCCAGATTTCCACTAAGTCTTAGCCTCTATTTGTTTGCGGCAATCATGGTTCCATCTCCTCCTTGTGACTTTGGTCACCTCCCCTTTTTCAATTCCGACTCCTCCCACTTTCGCGCCCTAACTGTTCCACGTCATGTGCCCTTATGGGAAAAATGTCATGAGTCGGGAACATCGCTTTTAAAATAGTGACAGTTCAGCATAAGAGTTTATTGATTGATTGATTCATGGCATGCCTTCGTGGTGTGGTGGTCTGCACACTGGGCGCATATTAAAGAGGTCCGTGGTTCGATTCCTGCCGAAGGTGTTGTTCATTTTTCATCTTTCCTGCTTCCAAAAATACATAATATCTCTACATACTGTAAGTGACTATGTTAAGGACAGATTACATGTGCTCATTCACAGCCTGGCTGTCAGAAAGTCATCATACTGCATTTCTAAATTTGTTCTGTTTCTTGAATGTGAGGAACCCTGAAGTCGGCAGTCATAAGTACTCTTTAGTTGTAGAATTTTATTTGAATGGTAAACATTTATTCAGGAGTTTAGGACAAAGTTTTTATTTGTATGGTTATTGTGACTCTAATATATTCTAGCAGAATGTAGGAAAACATATTTTAAAAAGAAGAAAGAAATGAATAATTTTGTAGCTACAAAATGTTTTTGTTTCGAAATGTATTTTTTGTCCATGACAGATCCAGCTAATGAAATGTAAATAGAAATATGTAAATTGAACCTGGGTTAGTAAATCAATTTCACTTGTACTGTGCATAATTATCAAAATGTTCATTAGGTAGTAAGATCAAAACTTCGTAGTTATCAAAATTTTTGGCATTCACACCAAAAATAATTTCAATACAATACTGAGACATCTAACACAGCCGATGCTGCTCCATGGTGCGGTAGAACACTTTTTCTTTAATTGAAAATATAGATTTCACATATAGTGGAGCTAGCCAACATATAAGAATGCATCAGGGTCTGAGAGTGTCAACTAGACAATCACTCTATCCTCATATTCTGTCATCGATCTTGTTGACCACAATATTCTTGACACTCTGCATGGCCAATGGTTCACACATTGCTGCCAACATTGTAGAATGATAGTAACACCCCACCCAAAATGTCTAGCGATCTTGCAATTTGACTACCCTGTTTCCTTTAGTTCATTTATGCATCCTATGCATCCTCTCCAAATGGTAACATCCTCATACTGTCTACAAGGCAATGATGCAGTCCATGTGGGTTGAAGAAGCCACATTGACATGGAAATCATGTCTTAGCACTGGAATGTCTTCTGTTTTATACATTATCGGCATGCTCCATTGTAATGCAGTGGAGCTCCAGCTAGTTAATCTTGGGCTGCCAAAAATTAATCATTTGTATATTCTATCATAAAGTACAGGCATATGCAATTTTTGTTCCATTCGGATAATTCCTTCTTGATGTGCTGCTTTTTATGTTTTAGAGCATATTCTTAATTTTTTGTATTTATTTTCATAGTTAAAAATAGTGGTTTAGTGGTACCATCTACAAATTAAATACATAAATAAAAGTTGTAGATCACATTCCACATCATCACTGATAATTTTTATAAAAATTTCCATTATCTTTTTATAAAAATTTCCACCATCTTTTCCATTATCTTTAACTAATAAAAGTATTTCTAATGATAATAAAATGTATTTGTAACAGAATAATCATTTGCATGCCGCGTAGCAGGAAGTCTTAATGATCGAAATGTCATATATGAGACTTTTTCAAATGCAAACTACCTAAAATTACTACCTACTACTAATTTTATGTAGTATGCCTTTATTATTATTAACCACTTTTCTCTCATCAATGTGATTGTCATGTGTTGCCAGTGTACAAAACATTAAGATTTTTAATCTATCTGCATGCAAAACTGCAAATAGCAAGTTCTTAAAAATACTAAAATATATCAAATCTTAAAAGCTTTAATTTACTTTTTATAAATAATACTTTTCTAATTTCTTAACAAATTGTGTGATCTGAAAGGGAAAAATATTATTAATAATTTAAATTTGTAATTTTTAATAACATATCAAACTATTTTGAAAAATATCAGTGAACTTGAACACCTAGACTAAATAGAAAAGATGACAAAAAGTTTGAAGAAATTAATGCTCAACATGTTAATTTCTCCCTTTTTAATGATGTTTATTTTTCTGTTATTTGTAGTATGTTCTTTTTATTTTGAATACAGATTTAATTTACATAGATAAATAAACTTATTATACACATCAAGTTGATTGAAAAAATAGATAAATTATTAACAGAATTTTTTTGTTATAGCTTGTTATTAATATGAGTTATTACTCTTACATATGCTTTTAACTGCTTTCAGATTAGCTGCCATTTTGAATTAACCACAGACATCAGTCTTGGTATTATCCTAGTAAAATGGGATTTGAGTGAATAGACACATACACACAGTTACATACATTAAACTATAAGCTTCCCAACACATTCTTTGTAAAAATATATTCTTTATTTAAAATTAGAATCAGGGAAAAACAGTCAATCATTAATTGCTTCTATACAGAGATGCAACTTACTTAGAACACTATCAAAATAAAACGTCCTATAATTAAGTTTTTCAATACTTTCTATTAATTTCTTTGCTTGGCTTTTGAAACCCGACAATGTTTTTGAGAAAGGAACAAGACTAATTATAGCTTGAATTCGCTGACATATCTGAACAATGTCCTGTTCAAAAAGACTATCTATAAACGGAGATAATACTTTGCGATTAATAATATGCTCAGCAATTGCATTTGCATCTGAAACACAAAAATTCAAAGCATCACTTAAAGTATATTGTGTCTTCTGTGTCTGAGATTTCCAACAAGATATTTTATCAGTTAAGATAAAACATTCATCTTCCTTCAAGGAATTAAAGTACTCAGATATATGTTTTGATGCAAGTTTTGTAATTAATAGATCTTCTGCAAAAACATTCATTTCTCCTTTGTCAAATGGTTGCTCATCTCTCTAAAAATATACAAAACATGAAATGCATGGTTATCACAATTTCTAAATAAAAGTTTTTATTTTATTTTATTTTATATTCTCAATGTTAAACATACTTTTACAATCTGTTATTTAACTCAATGTAAATTATGGATGTCTTTTAAAAGTATAAAATAAATAAAGCAACTGAGTACCAAATAAAAACTCACAAATTTTACGATTTTTGCATTAAAATTTAACACATGACTAAATAAAGGAAAATAATTAGAACATACAAGTAATAAATTACTACCTTTATATGAAGATAATCAACTCTGATAAATGATTGATTTGAATAGCATATTAGTGCTAATTTAAACAGAATGTTAGATGTGTTTCAAAGAGAGGTAAAAAAAAAAAAAAAAAAAAAAAAAAAAAGAATTTCTGCTTCAGTATTGAGAGTAAACCATGCCCAAATACTGACTGAGGGAAAAGAAAAAAAATGACAAGAACTTTTTGCCAATGAATTTATTAGAAATGGTTTAATTAAGGTAGCACTAAAATCCCTAATAACAGAACATGACTCTAAAACTATGAAAGCACTATGAAAGGAAAAAGAAATAAAATATCTAGATTTTACCATGTGTAATTTTTCATGCTTTGAAATTGAAGAAATAATCTCTCTTTTCACTGTTTTATTATAAATTCAGTTCAGACTGTAAATCAGCTCACTTTTGACCTCAAAATTCAATTTTGAATCTTAATTATACATAATAAATTCAGTTATAATTCTAGAGTAGAATCAAACCTTTTACTTTATTTCTTCCTATTTAAAATTTGATACTCTTTAAAAATAGGGGGAGTGTTTTTTTAATCAATAACTCAATTATTTAAGAATTGCTTCTATTGGCTTCTTATTTGAAATTATAGTGCCCAAGCAGTGAAGAAATTTTCTGTTTGGCAAACAAAAACAAAAAACAAATCAAAAAGTTTTCCTACCTAAAAATTTTTTATTTTATTTTGACTCATTAACAAAATTTTATGTTTTATTCTCACAGTTTACAATGGTCTTAATTACTGTGCTTATAAGACAATTATTTGAAAAAATATATTTATTACTTAAAGTTAATAGTTTTAAATTTAAAAAATTATTTAAAAATTTACATTTATATACAAAATATATTACAAAAAATCACATAATTATTATTATTACAAAAAAATCTATACATTACAAAAATTACAAAGTACCAAAATTTATTACAAAAAATTACAAAATTTCAAAATTTATTACAAAAATATTTATTTTTATTACTAAAAATATATTTATGACAAAAATATTTTATTACAAAAAATTACATAATACATTAATTCACTAGCTAAAGATAAACTGCTTTCTTATCTACAGAAACTAAAATAAAGGGAGGAATTCAATAATGTTAAAATATACCATGTTGTCAAAAGAGTCCATCTGACAAGAAAGCATCCAGTTGAGAAGCATACTGATGCAGTAACTTGGCAAAGCAGAATTTGCTTTCAAGAACAATACCATCATATCATCCAGAGCAACACAGGGAACAAAACATAAAATTCTTGTATCTGTATTAAAAACATATACAATATTAAAAAATAAAAAAGTAAAATGATATTTCATGCAAGCATTGCAACATCCAAAATTTTCATGACACATATGTAACAGCTTACTCATAACACCTTGTGTAATTATCAAACTTCATAAAGAATAAATTTCAAAACTGTTTTAACTGGAAAATTTTAACCAAAACAATTACTAGTGTAATTTTTTCATTAACAGTTGCAGTTTTTTTAAAAAACTTTACATTTCTTAAAAGGAGATTACCACACTGCTCCAAATGCAAAATGATTTTCTTCTTTACTTAAAGCTGACCTTTGAAACCAATACTTACCTTCAAAACCGGCATTATGAAAGCTTACCTTTAAAATAAAGGTATATTTTTAAATGCTAGACTGTATTCAAAGCCTAGCATTTAAAAATATACTAATATAAATTATAGTTTTTAATTTAATTAGTTTTATTATTATATATATACTGCCTGGTCCTCCTAAACTTTAATCTCAAATGTAAGTACTGCCCTCTAGAAGAAGGTAAAATATGAATAGGAGATTGACTCACAGGAAAAGCCGGATGTTCAATAGATCAAACTATGTAACCAGCAATTCTGTTTCTGTTTGTATAGGTTTTTTTAAGTGTATATAAGCTATGTAGTGTGTAGTAAAGAAATGAAAAAGATTAATCTTGTTATCATTGACTGCATACAAGATATCACAAATTAAGCTTATGTTGATACAGTAGGATGTGAATCGAAACTGTATGTCTCAACTGAGAAAAGATAAGTGATTTAAGCTTACCGATTACTTTTAAAGAAACTCTGATTGCATATTATAGTTACAAAAAATGTACAGTGAGATAAATTAGAAGTTACTATAATAATTTGAAGTAATAAATGATATTTTAAAAAAGCATAATAAAATCACAAAATGTTCACTGTTAAAGGTCTCAAAAAACAAGATTTGTTGCTATTGGCTAAAGATTAGATGAGGATGCTGTTGAAAGTCTTAAATTCATGGAACTGAAAGATAAAGTTATTAACAGTTGATCAAATCAATGCTTATATCCATAATTGATGATAGAAAATCCACTCAAGATTGAAAAAAATAGAATCACACAAAATAGAAATCACACGATTTTATGTAATTCTAACCTCTCAGAAAACATACTGTTAGAAAATTTAATTAAGAGCATAAAAACTTTAACGATATCCATTCTAACTTGATAAGAATCATGGACACTTTATTTCTCTTCACTGGAATGAGCATTTAAGATTAAAAATGGGTCAGAAAAGTGAAAAATGCACCAAATGCTTTGATTTATGTTACTGGAAATGCCAAAAATTACGAAGTATTTAAGAATGAAATCTTAAAAAAAAGAATATCAGCCAACTGCTCAAGTATGTTTACATATTTTTTGAAAAGCTAAATGCCAGTCAGGGAAAACACACACAGTTTGCAGCTCTGTAAATGGCATAGTGTATTATTGCACGTTAAGGAATGTGAATGATTTAAATGCAATTAAATTGATGCAAACTCTTGATCATGAGACAGTTGGTTAATACCTGTGGAAACTAAAAAAATTTGTGATACATTCTTTTCTTGCAAAAGAAAATCTTTAAATGAGACTGGTAAATATTCTCTGAAAACGAAAAATATTGAGACCAAAAGAAATCACTACATACCCCCATAAAACCCAGATGTTTTGTCCCAAAATAAAGGTAATTATATTTGTGGATCTTTCCAACATGTAGCTAAAAATTGTCAGAAAAAATTTAAACCTGAAAATCAGAATAAAACTAGTACATTATAGAAAACTGATGCTGTTGTAGCCAAAATCAATACAGAATACATCGACCAAAAAAGTTGAAATTCAGTCTCTGCAACATGTGAAAATACTATTTGAAAATAAAAAAATTGATGCTATTATTGACTCAAGTGCACAAATTCTGATATTAAACAGTAATATTTTACTGCAAAGTGATCAAGATAATAGAAAAATCAAGGTGATATCTGCACCTGGTGAAGAAAATAGAAACAAAAGTAATAAGATTTATTTATATCTTTGAAAGATGAAGATTCTGATTTTCATGTAAATAAACTAAATTCCTACAAATGCTTTTAACACTTCCATTATGAATAAATTAAATTTCTGAGCATCAAGTGGTAGGGTACACTTTCTTCTGCCTAGGCTGTCAGCTATTTAAATTATGATTGATTTAAAATCCACTGGCATCTCCAACATTTTGCAGGTAAGAAAGTGTGCTTGGTTCCAAATGTTCACATAATTTTGGTATTGCAAAATATTTCATCCCACTGTTGACAAAGTCTTTCTTGAATTTAATATTTTTATACTTAAAGTTATAATTTATTTTTGAAATAAATTCTTCACTCATAAATAAAATTCTTCCATAACACAAAAATTCGTGCATTAAAGTTTAGGTACTTAAAGTCTAGCAAGGTGCACAGCCTGCTAATGAAGATTAGTTTATTCTTTCTTGGACAGATTTACAGATTGCTGCACATTCAAAAGATTTTTTGTTACTCAAACGTAATTTTGCCGAACGGGCTTTTGCCAATCTCTGTTCATTAATTATTTTTATTATTAAATATATATGGTCATAAATTTATGCATTAACCACTATCAAAAACTTTGGGCTTATTTTTGCTTACTTATTTTTTCATCATAGCCTGCTTTTATGTTAAGTTTGACTGAAATAAATTCTTCACACTAAAGAAAAGGAAAAAAACATGTGTCTAATAGGATTAGCATCCTTATGTCTCCAGACTCTGCTAACACTGTTCTATAAGTGTTATGATATGAATTTCCAGGATGTGGTGATAGCTTTTATGGATGTATATGTTCATGTTTGCACATATATATGTAAGTATGAATGTATGTGTTTGTACATATACACACATGTGCATACATTCATACATTTCTGAATCTGGCCCTAATAACAGAACAGTACCTCTCAACTTAGAGCTTTACTAAAATGTTTACCATACACTAAAATTATATAGTTTATTATAAATATATAAGATTTTTACTGTAATAAAATTGTGGTTTTGTTGAATAAATCATACATAAAACAACTCACCAGAAAATTCACTGCCTTTTATAGAAGCAACAATTTTAGAAGCTGAATTTTTAATTTCAGGTTCATCATCAATCAGTAGATTCAGAAGAGCCTGCCATAAATATGAGGTTCTAGATCCTATGGAAAGAAATATTTCTTTATTAACTGATAGAAACAAAGCACACATAAACTGAATAATAAGCAAGTGAAGAAAATGTAAAGAACTACATATTATTAGAAATTCACTCAAATTTCTATTTTGTACATTCTAAGCATAACAAACAAATAATTGACATGATGATAACTGATGCATTAATAACAATATTTCCCCCCCTAGATGTATCCCAAAAGGATGAAGATAATTTGAATACATGCTTTCATTTATGATTCAGTTGATGTTGCTTGAAATCTGCACATATCTCTAACCACACCCTAGTTAATCTCAATCAATACTAAAACATTTTACAGTTATTTTATAAGAACAGTGTAACATTCACCACAAAAAATAAATTCAAAACATTTTTTAAATATAAAGCATTATTTATTAATATGTTTATTCATCAATTAATTATTAAGTAATAAACGTAATGCAGTAATTAATGCTATGGAAATTTTATTTAGTCTATTACATATTTGCTTGAATTTAATATGTACTATAAGTTATGAATGCATAGGTAGATATTTATATACATATTTGGTCTACCAGAAAGTTCTGACTGTTTTGGGAATAAAACAAAATACAAATTTTTCTTACCGTCAATAAACTTTATTAAATAATATAATTGACATTATTATTAATGACTTCTTGCCAGTGTGAGGGCAATTTGTATATCCCATTTTTGAAAAATGTTGTATTTGATATAAAATACTGAACCAGTGCTTGTTTGATGTCTTCTTCATTCTTGAATTTTTTGTCCTTCAAAACATTTTGTAAGGACAAAAACATATGATAGTCGAAGAGTGCTAAGTCCAAGGAATATGGTGGATGTGACAGAATTTCCCAGCCTAGTTCTGCAATTTTTGATGAGTCCCCAAAGCAGCATGGAGTCTGGCATTATCATGATGCCCTTCCTATTGAACATCACTAGCCTCTTTTCTTGGACAGCTGTTTTTAAATTATCCAGTTGATGACAATACTTCTCCGAATTGAATTTTTCATTCGGTTTTAAAAGCTCATAATGTATTATTGGTTCTCGATTGTCCCCCCATATACACAACATTCTCTTATTCATAGTCAAATTTGGTTTAGAGGTGAAAGGGCTGTTTTCCAGGTTTACAATGTGCCCTTTTCCTTACAATGTTTTCATAGGTAATCCACTTTTCATCGCCAGTTATCCAATTCAAGAAGGGCTCAATTTTGTTCCAAGCAAGCAGAGATGTGCGTATGAATCATCCAAATTCTTCTGACTTAATTCATGTGGCACCCATCTTGAATACTTCCAAACCAATCCTATATTCTGAATATGGTCCAAAATGGTTTGCTGAGCTTTCTCCAATCTCCAGTGTTATCAGAAAAGGATCTTGCTCCAGCATAATCTCAACAACTTTGTTGTCAATCAAAATGGTCGCCCAGAATGTGGCTTATCAGAAGGGTCAAAATCACCTGTTTTAAATTTTTTGAACCATCTTCTGCATGTCCTATCAGAAACTGTACCTTCACCAAACACTTTCAACAAATTTCTACATGTATTAGTAGAATTTCTTCCTTGCTGAAATTCATATGAAATAAGCAGTGTAAATGAACTTTATCAGTAGCCATGGGTACACTATCACTTCCCACTTAAGACTAGTGTGAATCAACTTTTAGTTAATTTGCTCAGTATGTATACATTAAGAAATAAGTATAGAGAGCCAAACCAAATAAACATGTGCTTACATGTCAAAAATTGTTGTTATAGAAACGGACAGAACTTTCTGGTGGACTGAATATATAGGTTCAAGTTTTGAACTATTTTTTACTTTGTATTTATTCATTTATATATATATATATATATATATATATATATATAGATTTAATAGAATATGATAGCTGTTTCAAAAAAATATAATTGGCAACTTCAAAATTAACATTCCAATTTGGTGATCTGCCCCTAAATTCATCTCTTCTCACAGGTTTCAGATTTTTCTATCTTACGTAACGTTTTAATACAGATACCTCTTGTCCAATCAGATTAATTGTAAATCAAAACTCTGAACTGAAACTTTTCTGACTCCCACCTTTCTTCTTCTGAAGCTCTATGATTCTCTCCCATTTTTCGCATAAGCTCTCCTGCTGGCAAGACGCTTTTAATCCATGCTGCTGCCACTTACTTGCACAAGATGATGTCGTACTTCAGATTGGAACTTACTGTATTCAAATATAATTAGGAAACATCTTATCTGCAAAAGGATGTTTTGATATACGTAAAATAATAAAGATTGTGATTTTTCAAGATACGTTGTGCTAAATTGCGTCATCATACTTTTCACTCTGCCACCTTCAAGGCACTACGGTCTTCTCGGTCATCTACACAGTATCCAAGCTGTTAAAAGTTCACTGTTTTCATCTATGTATTTTAAAATCATTACATATATACAAGGTCCTGCTATTAATTTCCAGGACTCATGGCATAACTCGGAAGGAAAAAAGATTAAACACATAGCCATTTAATATGATTCAAAGTAATCCCCATCAGCCGTAATGCACGTCTGTGCTCGGCTGTTCAAATTTCAGAAAGAAGTTTTGAAGTCCTCTTTTGGAATGCTCTTTAATAGTGACATTACAGTTTTCTTGATGGCTTTGACATCCTGAAATCTTGTTCCGTTCAGCAAATTTTTCAGCTTAAAAAACAGGAAAAAGTCTGTGGAGGCTAGGTCTGGAGAATATGGTGGATGCCGCATTTCAACAACACTATGCTGGGCTAGGAATTGCCTCACAGGTAACGCAAAGTATGGGCAGGCATTGTCATGTAGCAGCAGACAACTCCCATTTTGTTGAAAATGAGGCCTCACTCTATGAATTTGTTTTCGAAGTCAGTCAAGAACTTCTGTGTAACTGTCCATTGATAGTCACGTTAGGAGAAAAAATTCATGATGAATGAGTCCATCGCAAACGAAAAAAGCGATTAACATGACCTTGATTTTGGACTTTTCAAATTAAAATTTTTTCTCCCTTGGTGAACTTGGAGACCGCCATTCGGAGCTTTGATGCTTGATATTGATAACACCAAGACTTGCCTCCCGTGACCATCCTATCTAGGAACACAGGGTCAGCATCAGCATTGTTTATAAGTTCGCCACATGCATCCAGTCTCAACTGCTTTTGTTCGTCCCTTAAATGGTGAGGAACGAATCTGGAACAAATCTTGCGCTTGCCTAAGTCTTGCATCAAAATTCACCAAACCGTCTCTTTGTCCATGTTCAATTCATTGGCAAGTATTCGAATAGTCAATCAGCGATCACATTTCACCATATCCCGAACTTTTTCAATTGCTTCCGGCGTGCGTACGGACTGCGGCTGACCTGTGTGTGGATCATCTTCGATGCCTTCGCACCCATCCCGAAAGCATTTAAACCATTCAAAAGTTCTTGAGCAGGATAATGCTTCCTCACTGTAAACTTGTTTTAACATTTTGTAGGTTTCCGCAGCTGTCTTGCCCAATTTGAAGCAAAATTTAATGTTAATTCTTTGCTCCATTTTCACTTCGGCAATAGGAATTTAAGAGCTACGTTTTAATGCGTCTTTCCACAAGAACCACTTACTTCAGAATGGCACCGATTGCACTGCACATGCACAAGGAAACGCTCTTCAATATGCAATCATTAGCACCATCTTCTGACTTTTCGCTCTCCTACAGTTACGTCAATCCTGGAAATTAATAGGCGGACCTTGTATATATATATAGTTAAGGAAAACTTTAAAATTAGCGAATTTTAAAATTTATTTAATAGGACTAAAAAGTAAAATCCTGCACTATGCTGCAAAGATAATATTTAATTTTATAAAGCAATAGAGACTATAAATGAAAATTATCTTCTAAGAAGTGTGAAGAAAATTTAGAAAACAAATGTGTATTACTGTGATAATTATTAATTGGAATTTGTAAATAAAATAACACTGGAATTGCCAAATATAAGTAAAATAAAAGAATAAATTAAGAGAACTATTGCTGATTCCATAAAAAGATCCTGATTTATCAAGTGGACCTAGAACTTCTCCAGACAACAATTTCTAGCATTTTGATAATACTCATATTAAGGTTATAATTTGTAGAAATAGTCTGAGAAGTAATACATAAGTAGGGAAAAAGATTAAGTAAAATTAGTTAAAATATTTTCCCTAAGAGGCAGCCAATTAACGACTGCTCACTAAATATTAGTGCATACAAATTGGGTAAGGAATTTTTTAAGAAAGTAAGAGATTTTTTACGTGAAATTCTCAGGAAAAATTCAATTCGCACTTATGCAGCAAAATTAATTAAAATATTAAAATTTTCATCAAAAGCCTTTTAATATTTTCCCATACTTTGTTTTACGCCTAATAAAAATTATAAAAAAAAACTTCTTAGTTTAAATTTTATGTTCGATTTCCCCACTTAATTTTAAGAAATTATTCCAGCAGTTTACATAATTTAATGTGCATTTTTTCAAGCAGATATAAAATGTATTTATAAAAATTTTAATATTATTAATATTCTATCATTATATAAACAATTTTCATGTGTGTGTGTGTAATTTGTATGCTCCTCAGCAGTAGTGAAATCAACCATGACCTTAGGAGTACATGCAAAGTTGCTAGTAAATAGTAATAAAAAAAAATTAAAAAATCTTACTTAATGTAAAAACTTTTTTAATGTATACTTTACTACAATGAGCTTTTTTAATTAGAGGTCCTGACAAGTCCACTGATGGTATATGCTGAACATAAAGAATAAAATATACGTATAGTTTATAGAACTTAAACATAATATTTATATCTTTTAATAATACCTAGTATACTTGATTTAAATAATGATGATTCACTGAGAACGCTCAAAGTTGAAACAACTGCTTGTCTTTTTAACACGCTGTTTTCAGGTTGAGAAAATTCTTCTATTAATAGCATCCACTTTTCAACGACACTTAATGATTCTTCCTGGTGGGAAGATGAATATATTTTTTAATATCAATGTAAATACACATTTAATTGCAATAATAATAATAAAGTATATACATAGCCTTAATAAGTAAAAATTTAAGGGGGAAAAAGTTACAGTATAGTACTAGAATTCTTAGAAAAAATCAAACAAAAATATCTTCTGAATTAGATAAAACTTGAAAAAAATGTGAAACAAGATTAATATGAATTTAAACTGGGAAATAAATGTGAATCACCAAGTCCTCAGCAGTAGTAACTAATCAGTTTTGTTGTAACATTTCAAAAACTGGCAAAGGAAAGAACTTCTTTCTTTTATTGGAGAAAATAAATATGTTCTTAAAATTTGCAACCAAAGGGTAAACCAAGCAGGAGAAAAAATGTCAGATTTAGATACATAAAATTACTCAAATAAATGGGTTAAATTTAATTATTAACTACTAAAACATCAAAATTAAACAAAGACTATAATCTAATTCAATATGTAACTGATATAAAATATTTAGAAATATTCAGTTACCTTTTCAGCATTCGTGTCTAAGCCAGAACATATGTCTAGGACAAGTTGCGCAGAAAACAACAGTATGTAGCAGGAAACATCGTCTCTACAAAAAAAGAAATAATTTTACCTCTACATAATTGTAAAATAGATGTTTATAACAATGTATCATTGCTCTTTTCATAAAAGACCTTAATGATACAATAAAATAATTAAATAAAATAAATAAAATTAATCATACTAATTTTAGTTACAATGAGTTTTTAACAATTATAAATACAAATAATAAAACAGAAACAGCTATCAAAGTAGCATACTCTTTAACCATATATGAGTAACAGATAAAAAATTTCCATGAAGTTTTCTACCATTATTTTCACTTAATATTTTTAATATTTTGTTCCACTTTTGGATTCTATGATGCACATATTTGGTATATTTTCTTAATTCAAAAATGCAGCTGATGTCACATTCTGTCACATACTTCTTCAACGAATTAAAATTTTTAAGTTATATATGCAGAACTTTTTCCCTGAGGAGATTCATATGAAAATGTCTCCGGCCCAAACATTTTGTAAATTTAATACAAGAAAGTAAAAATTTTAAAATGCTAAGCTAACTCCAAACATATTACAATATGATTTGTTAAGCTTTACACAATACATGCTAGCAACAAAAATACACTGGTCATCAAATTAAAAGATAATGATAGAAATAAAACTTAACTGATACCTAATGAAAAATTATTAATAGAAATTTGTATAAATGCATTAGTTAACATAAATTATAATGTTTAGCAGTTGATTATTTGCAAAATATTGAAATTAAAATCAAATTCATGGAAATTGAAAAATAATGGAAAAATTAAGTCATCTCTTATGGAAAACATTTTTCTTTAATGTGTATGGTCACCTTAGACACATATGCATACTTCACATCTTGATTTCACACACTCTGACAAAGTCTCAATCAAGTCTTGTGAAACTGCATGCCACTCTTCTAAAAATGCCCTTTTCAGCTCTTAGAGGGTCCAAGGAGAAATTTGTCATTCTAAAATTTGGCACCATAAGACATCCCACACATGCTCAACTGGGTTCAAGCCGATTGAGTAAAGTGGCCAGTCCATTCGTGCGATATCTTCTATTTGCAAGTACTCTGTCACCACATATGCTCGATGAGGCCTAGCATTGTTATCCATTAACAAAAATTTCAAGTCAACAGCACCCCTAAAAACAGTCTAACTTGGGGTTCCAATACTTTGTCCACATATCTGCGAGCGGTTACAGAACCTCCTTGAAAGACATAAAGCTTGGTGCAGCCATTTGTCATGATTCCTCGCATAACCATTAAACTGCGGTCATGGAAATGAGATATATCACAGACAAGTGAAGGCAAGTTGCATGTTCCTTCCTCTCTCCAGATCAAAATACATCTACAATCATTGTCAGAATATATCTGGACTGGTCAGTAAAACAATACTCGGTCAGTAAACAATACTTGGATCCATTGAACATGACAACAGCACTAGTGCAAACAGGCTCCTCTGTAACCTGGAATGAGTGAGACACAAATCGCATACAGTCCAATCTTATTAAGATTCCGTGCAGCAGTAGAATGAATAATTTTAGTTCCTGTGGCAGCCTGAAGGTCACCAACCAAATCTCTTGTAATCACTTTGTGGTTTCTTTGAGCTGACAACGACAGAAAACAGTCTTCTGATGCAGTTGTTGCTCTTGGTAGCCCTTGACCAGGCTGTTTGTCAAGTGATCCAATGCTTAAAAAGAGGCTTCAAACTTTTGATATGACACTTGGAGGAGTATTCAAATCTTCGGTGACCACCATTTTTGCTTAGTTTCACATGATTCTACCAATTATTCGACATTTTTTACCTTCACCTATATGATGCCGTTGAGCCATGACTACTGAATAATGATCACTCTCAGAAACTACAGTCACTTTAAACAACACTTCAGACCCCAATTCCAATATATGCCCAATGTGCACCACATTTGCAATCACTGAATTTGCATATTCTGGCATTAAGATATGCATGGAAGTGCAATTTTGTGTTCAATTGTATTTAATTAGCATAAATAATTACAGCATCGGGCATTGGTTCCACCGTAAACTTGGTGAGTATACTTTATCTCATTATCCTTTAATTTTGATGATCAGTGTATTTAGTTACATTTAAGCTTGGAAATCAGAATTGAATTACGAAACTTTTAAGTTTCGCAATTCAATTCTGATTTTGTTTTAGATGTAATATTTTCATGTATATGCATAGTCATACTTGCCAACCTATGACACTCAAAAATCAGGAGTTTTTTTAAGAAATCGGGAGATTTTTTCACAATGTTAAAAAGACTTTTTAAATGATAAAAATACGGTTTTTAATAATGAATTAACTTTAAATAGTAACTAATTCTTAAATGCAAGCAACACAAAAATACCTTACACATAAAAAACATTTTTATTACTTGCATCGTTTAAAGGGGGAAAAAAAGGAGGGAATTTTAGTTTAGAAAATTAGGAAGTTTCTTTCAGAAAGAAACTTCCTAATTTTGTTCACTGTAATTGCCACGTAGGCCTGCTTTCGCTAAGAAAAGTTTTTCTAATGTGTCATCACTAATATTAGATCTAAATTTAGTCCTCGTTTACGCAACAACACTGAAAATCCTCTCATACTCTGCACTACTATGGGGAATTGTCAAGATGGACAACACAGTTCTAGACAGTTGACTATATTTTAAAATTCCATCAGCACCTTTCAGTTTTCCAATTAAACTCCACTGGGTGTCAATCCTAGCTGATTTCATAACTTCATTCAAGTTTTCTAATTGTAAACTGCTGTTATGCAGCTGTTGGAACTGTTTCAATTTTTCCTTCCTTTTAGAACTCCTTTCAAGATAATAATATCAACAATGTGTTCATCCACATTTATTGGTAAAGACGCTGCCCCTTTTTCAGCTGCTAAATTTAAGAGGTGACAGGTGCACCTCATAATCTGCAAATCTGAATTTTCCTTTCTTAAGATGCTTGCAACACCAGTCTTCAAGCCTACCAATACCGGTGCATTATCGGCACCAAGTGCTAAGCAATTATCCAGAGGGCCTGCATTTTCTTTTAAAGTTTTAATAATTAACTGTGGTATTAAAGCCTGTCAATGTCCTTCTAAAATGGGGACAGAAAGTAAACTGCACTCAATTCTGAAGAATCTGGATTAAAAAAAGAAACAAACAATTGGATACAGTTTTGAATCATTATTGCTTCCTCCGTTAAGCTTGCAGAAGGGAACCAATCAACAGGGTTCATCACATTTATTGGAAAGACTGTTAAATTAAAGGGAAGGAAATAATCAAATGAAAAGAGGAACAAGTCTTCAAGCCTAAAAGTTATCGGCACCAAGTTAAGAAATAAGGGGAAAAAGAATAAAAACTGTGGTAAATGTCCTTCTAAAATGGGAGAAAGAAAGAAAGTAAAATGCACTTCTGAAGGGAAAAAAAAAAAAAGAAACAACAATTGATACAGTTGAAATCGGTATTATTGGAATCCGTATAGTAGTAGAGGAGGCAGAACGGAGCTATTTTTGTGCAATCAATAAATGAAGATTTATTTTTCAAACCCATTCTTTAACAATTGCACCTGTTTTGGTTCTTGCACTTGAGTATTCTTAGCAATTTCACTATCGGGAAACATTTTTCTAAATAAAGCTGCAGCGTGATCCGATGCATTCAGTGGCAGGTTGTGCTCCAGTAAAAAGGAGAACAGACATTCTGCATTAATAACTTTTTGGTCCTTTGTTTTCGTTTTTTTAAAAAACAACTCATGTTATCCTTGTGTTTTTGTGTTCGCACATGTTTGAGAACATCCGCCCTTCCACACTGCGAATTCAAAAAATCGCAATGACAGACGGTGCACATCGCAAATTTATTACATTTCCTTGAGGAAATAATGGAAGGAAAGTCAACTGTACAATTTTTGAAACGTACACGAGTATTTCATTCTCGCAGACATAACAAAAGATGATAATTTCTAAAACTATTTCCTGAAGGCACGTGCACTCACACAACTCAGCACAAATTGAACGAAATAACTAAAGAACATCCAAATAACAGCTTGCCTTGTCCTCATTGGCTAATATATGCCAGCTGACACGCAGTGGAGTTCGATGCCCATTGGAGAACTGGAGAACGATGTTTCTGGGATACGTATAATGCTCTCACTCACAAAGCAGAAGTATCTGATTCTTAAGGTTTGTTTTAGATATAACTAGAGAAATTCAATTGCTTTCAGACGTCCAAAATCACTTTTGTTCATATAACAAAGTATTAAGCCAAGTTCCATAAAAATCGTGAGAAATTTTAAAAATAAGAAAAAGTCGGGAGAAATATATTGTAAATCAGGTTGGCGGGAGATCGGTCGAAAATCGGGAGTCTCCCGCCTAAATCGGGAGAGTTGGCAACTCTGCATAGTGTTACGAAATGTAAAGGCATGGTAAGATAGCTTCCCCGCAAAGCAGTTTTAGGGTTGCCATAAAATAGAAAGGGAAGGCAGGGTTGCCATATTTGGCGAGAAATCGCCCATTTCGCGACAAAATTGGTGATATACCATGGACGGTTGGAGAACCTTCTGGAACGAATTCTTACCGGTTTAGCCCAGAATGTTGTCGAACACCAGTCAAAAGCTATATAAACCCTGCTGGTACGCGGAGAGTTAGTTACGAGTTAGTGTGTGTCTCGTCTAGCAAGTCAATCCCTGCGGAGTCGATCAAGTTGACAGACAGGCAGCAAGTGCCGAGTGGGTCGTTGAGTGCACCAAAGAAGTCTGTTAGTGTATCGTGGTTTGTGCATCGTCGAGAGAGTGTGTTGAGCTCCGGGAACGACTGAACTGAAGAGTCAGGAGCCGTGCTCGTGTGTCGTCAAGTGCATCATGAGTTGTAGCGTGGAGAGTCTCGAGAGTACGTGGAGTTCCGAGAACGATCGAGGAGAGTCGGGAGCTGTATTCTGGTGCTTTGCAGTGAAGCTCTCTCCACCGTGATAGCCTGATAACCTGAAGGCTATCACGGTGGAGAGAGCTGATTAGGCTGAGTCACTGATTGTTCCAGCGAGTGTATATAGTAGATCTCCGACGACTGTAAAACGTGACTTTGGAGCTGTCCTGACAATACTGGCAAATAAAGTGTGTTTCAATACTTCATCAAGTGTCGTCGTTATTCACTCTAAATCCACACGAACATGAAGGAAGAAAATAACATAACAACTGGTGTCAGAAGAAAAGAAAAATGCAACAATATCTATTTGCGAGTGTTCATTTCTTTGCATATAGTATCAAGAATAGGGTGCAAATGCTATTATATGCAATTTTAAATTATATGCTATTTTAAATAATCATGCAGAAATAAATAGTATATAAGCTTGAATCAATTTCCCAGATTAGTTCAGTAGTGTGCCAACAAATAGCAGAACAAGGTTGCACTAGCAGCTATAATAATTTTCAATCTTGAATTTCTTCAATCTAAATTTACTCACTGCTCCACACATCGTGAAGCTTTAGTAGCCAAAACAATTCCTGAAAGCCTGAAAGTTGTTTTAAATCAAGCTGCGAAAATTTTTAACTTTATTAAAAGTCGAGCTTTAAATTTCAGAATATATATGATTTTATGCCAAGAGATGGGCAGTGAACATGAAATGCTTTTGTTACATTCTGAAGTAAGGTGGTTATCCAGAGGCAAAGTTTTAAATTGTCTTTTTGAACGTCGATCAGAAATTCAAATTTTAATCTGTGATTGAAAATTTGAATTGCAAAAATGTTTATTTAGTGAATTATGGTTGGCGTGTTTAGCATATTTAGCTGATATTTGTGGAAAGTTAAATTAATTTAGCTGATAGGATTGTGGACAAGTTAAATTTTAATTTGTTTACTGTTAGAGATTACAAGGACAAGGCAATGATTAATTTGTTTACTCGTTAGAGATAAAAATCAAAGGCAATTGGATAATATATAAAGCTTTTTTCCACTTTTAGAAAGTTTTCTAATGAAAAATAAGTTCAAAAGAGAAGAAGAATTAGCATCCAACATTAAAAATCATTATTTTTCACAGATAAATAATTTCAATATGTATTTTCTCAAGGATTATGAAAAGAAAATTGGATTAGAAATCCATTTTGTTCAAATATACTTGAAATTTCATCTCATGAAGAAAAAGGATGATTGATAAAAATTTTCTGTGATCAAACTCTAACTGAAGATTTAAAAAAAAAAAAAAAAAAAAAAAAAACACTTAACTTTTGGCCTAACAGAAAAAAAGAATTTAGAAGCATTTCAAATAAAGCTATTCAATTTTTATTGCCTTTTTGCACAACTTACACGTGTGAACAAGGAGTTTCTTCCAGGTTATATTTTAAAAATATGTACAGAACAAAATTAAATGTGGATTCTAATTTACACTTAAAACTAAGTGAAATAAGACCAGACATAAAGAAATTGATTTCTCTTAAAAAGGCCCAAATTTTGCACTAAATGTTAGAATTAAATTACTATTTTAATTTTGATAATTAAAATGGTAGCCAATTTTAATCTAATATTTTCATGCGTGTACATTTAATTCAAACAGCCAATAGGTTGTACAAATGGCAAAATATTTTTTAGCTCAAGAGGCGTTAACCCAGATGGGCAATTAATTTCAAAACGGCATTTTGTGTCGATTCACTTTTCAAACTGTTGCCAACAAATATTATTGGCATGCATTATATTTAAAGAAACTAAATAATGAAGAATCTGCATGAATGAATTAATGTTTCTCACCTAGTGAAAAAACGGCACCTACAGCCATCAAATTTTGAATAAAGTAATCCTCCACCGAATATGGGCATCTGGAAGCCCTAATTTGAAATTTGTTTTATTATCGATTTCATATTTTGTAACACTTTAATGTGTTTTTATTAAAAAGCTCAACAATTTGAAAGAGAGCAATGGCAAAACTGTACGAAAAAAACATTTTTATCTCCAGCGCACGAGAATGTGTATGGGAAATTCTAAAGATATGCTCGTTTTAAAATTATTTTGCGATATTGCTGTTAAATTGAATTTTATGGTTTAAGTGCAAAGAACATTATATTTAATAAATAAAGGTACACACAAAAGGTTAAAAAAAAAGATCCCTTTAAGTGTAATGTAGAATCTGTAAGCTTTCAGATTATTATTGTTTTTGTTATTATTTTAATATTTCTATTAATAAATTGAAAAATAATTATTGTAAAATTATTGTAGTGGAGGTACTAAAAGTTTTCATTTTTGGTTCAGATGATATGTGTTAATCAAAAGGTTGAGAACCGCAGCCTTAGAATATGCTTCCAATATTAAACAAGCAATTCCTGTGCAACCTTAACCCCTTCAGGATGGGCGTCCCATATACTCATTCCCTAAGAACGTCTCTTACAGCCGGCATCCCATCCACGCATCGCTAGAGATTGCATTCAGAAGACGGGTGATGCGTATGTGCAATTTTAAGCTGGAACGTTTTTCTGAAGGCCACTAGATGGCATCCTATGCCCATTAATTTTGAAATTAACACTTTTAATTCCTAACCTTGAGTTTGATATATTCTGCTTGACTTTGGTATTTTACTCATCAGCTCTTGCGAGGGTGGGGAGGGGAGGGGAGGGAAAACATAAACAGAGGAGAGCTCTTTAAATCGCTGCGTGCTAATGAAAACATATGCATGTCTGATTTATATCCAATTTTTTTTATTCTATTTTTTCTTTACTATATACGGTCTTTTAGGGTTAGTATGTGGAGTACTGTTACGTTTTGCATTGCCCTTCAGATATATTTTCCGTTTCTGCTCTTTTTATTTCGGAAAGCCTCACCTTTAGTCTATTATAGCGGAAAGGCGTTATTTATCAGAGGAAGAATACCCTCGTATGGTCAATGAACCATTTAATTAATGCAGATGAGAGTGATGATTAATTTTCTTAAGTGTTAGAAATACTTTTTCTAAGAGTTAGAAAGTGATATTTCTCCATACTTTGAGATTTACCACAGTCTTCATTTTAAATTTTGTTACTTCTTACTGTAATGTCTCTATGTCTTGTTACTTCTTACTGTAAGGTCTTTATGTCTTGTTACTTCTTACTGTAATGTCTTTATTTTAGTCTTTATTGTGTTGTTTTATTAATTTAAAATTTTATTGATGGATTTTATCAATTAAAATTTTGGAATAATTTGAATAGTGCTTCTGAAAATTGTTTTACAAGACAAGCATTTTTTTAAGTATATTTTCATATAAAATAAAGAAAAAAAACGTTATTAAGTGCTAATTTTAACATATATAAAAGCTCACGTAATAATCTAAAAGAATACAAAAAATTACGATGCTAGAAGCGAAACTTTTTTTTTTCTAATCTTTTTTTATAAAATTAGGCTTAGCGATGCAAAACCTCCATCCTGTACAGTGACTGCCTTTGATTCCCTTCCATCCCGCACGAGCGTCTTAAACAAAGGTGAGCTGTCGCAAAAAGGTTAAGAGAGATTAGAATAAAAGTGAGAATACAAATGAGATAAATAATCAAATCAATCTCTTGCCAGCACTGAAGAAAATAAAAAAGTCTGACCCTTGAAATATGTAAATGTGCCTATCTCATTGATAATACTGGTCAATGGGGATTGTCACAGAGAGAAATCTTAGTGTCATATTTTGTGATGCTGATTTCAACTATAAATTCAGAATTTCTCATTCACCCTGATGGTTTTTGGAAAAGAACTTCCTACCAATACTATTGTTTTGTATCAGAGGTCTATCAGGCTTCTTTCTCAATAATGACTTACACAGTCTGTCGTCAATCTGACTTAAAAGACACTGAAGGAAATATATATATACATTCAGATTTAAAGGAAAGAAAATTGTTAATTACTTTTCGAGTGAGTGAAGTGACACAAAAGTGAAGACATTTAAAATTTAAAAACACAATTTACAACCTGCAATTTAAAAAGAATAAAAAATCTCCTTCACAAGAAATTTACAAATTTCTTGTTTCAATTTTTTTAACACATGTGCTATTTTATGGTATGTGTTTCTACTATTTTAAAGTACAGCTTTTCAATGAAATTTCTTTTTCTATTTAAAAACGACATAAAACAAAAAAGCAATTATCATTAACTTATATGGGATTTCAGGTCCAAATGATAACTTACCAAATTATACCAAATATCAGTAACATATAAGTGTAAATAAATGATAAATTATCTATTCTATAAAGCTTTACTTATATAAAATAAATAATATACATAAAATGCAACAGAAATAATGTATTTACAACCCGTATATAAAGCACACATAATATAGTTTTTAATATCTATATATCCAGAACCAGAAAGATAGTGGTTTCTGTCTTGTTCAGCAATATCAGAAACTCCTCACTGGTATTAACATAATATTATTTAATAATAAATCAATTTTAAATATTGCAGTTAATGACAATGAGTTTTAATATTAATAACAGCAATAATTCCTAATTAGTTCATATATATTCTAATATACTTTTAATGAGAAAGGTTTCAGAATTTCAATCAATGTGCCATCTTTAATTTATGATTATGAAAAAGTTTGCCAACTAAAAAAGACAAAACATTTTTAAAGCGGATATAATAATTAACAATTATACAGTGCAATCAGTTTCAAAACTCTTCAGTTTAAAAATATTTTTCTTCAATAATTAATATGTTTCTTTTAAAAGAATTTTTTTTAAAAAAATAATAAACTGACTTAGGTAACTAAATTAATATTAAAAACACATGCACTTGTCAGGATCTAACAATAAAGTTAATATTGCATTTATTAAAAATTCAAAAAATTACAAATTTCTTCTTTAGGAAAAGAAAAAAAAAAGTCATTCCAAAAGCATATTTACCTTCTGCATGCTTTTAAATGGGACAGGATATATTCTAACTTCTACAGAATAAAATACATAAATAAATAAAATGTAAAAACAGAACAGATATTACACAACTAATTAACAAAAATGATATTCAAACAAATGATTCTAAACCATAATTAATAAGTCTCATAAAAACATAAAAAGTCAAACAAAAAGCTAAATCTTACATTTATTTGATGAGAATTATGTCGTCCATGAATAAATTCCCAAACTTCAGTCACAGCACTTGGAGTTACACACATAAGCTCATAAATCTACAAATAATGAAAAGTGAACACACATAAGTTCATAAATCTACAAATAATGAAAAGTGAATCATATATCCCAATCTTTCAAGCTACAGATTAAATCCTCGGAAATTAGCTTAAGAAGCAGTTTGAAATCATAATGGCAATAAATACAAAACCTAGTATATTCCCTTATTTTATACTATGCAATATTTTTACATAAAATAAATGAAATTTTAATTTTTTACTTTTGCCTTATTTGCTTATGATTACTACCAGCACCTAATAACTGTCCTGTTAAGTCCATACTTTTAGTACTCATTTATCAATGCAAACAAACTTTTAAATGTTTCATTTTAGCAAGATATTTAGCATATAACACACATCCCCATCCCCTAGCTTGTTAGTACCAGGTTTTGCAAATTTTAAAAATATTCACATAATTTTCTCCTTCTTAAAGCATTAAAAAAAAAGATTTAATTATAAAGTTGTTAATTACTATATGGGCTTTAAAAATGTTGTCTTTTTTTAGTTGGCAAACTTTTTCATGATCATAAGTTAAAGATGGCATATGGAGAAAATAATTAAGAATTATTGCTTTTCCTAAGTGTTAAAATGGATTTGTCCACATAATGATTGTTTTCACCTTTAGTAACAAAAGCATAAACTACCTGTGAAGATCATTCAAATCTTTTCTTTCTAAATGTTAAACTTTATGCCAACCTAATACAAGAATCAACCAATCACAGCAACGTAAACATGAATTGTCATTCAATATATGATTTGGATGATTCAATTGTTCATTCAACTTCTCTAATTATTTACGGATAATTTGAGGCCTAAGGAGTAGCAGAGACAGCAAGAAGAATGGGCAAGATTTAAGTAACAGGAAAGTAAAAATAAAGATATCTTATTAAGTAATGTTAATATTGCTTATTATGCACTAGTCAGGAGTAGTCAGAAAGTGATGAAATTCGGCAAACAGAGAGAGACAGAAACGAGCAATAAGCAATCTTTATTTCAAAATGATATGCATAATACAGAGCGAGAACAGCATTGGCTCATTACATTGTATGACCACATAGAATGGTGATACACAAAGCAAGATGTATAGGTACAGAGTAAATGAGATTACAGATGGTGTCTTGAGGAACGGCTCTCCATTCATTGTAAACCATTTGCCACAGTTCATCTTCTGAATGCGGCAATGGCAGGGTCTGCAAATGACATTCTTTCACATTCAAATGTGTTTGATTGGTGAGAGATTAGGAGAGAATGCTGGGCATAGAAGTATCTGTACATTTTTGCAGAGCAGGTTGGCTGATGCGACCTGTGTGAGGTCGGGCATTGTCCTGCTGATAAAGAGCATTGGGCACTCCCTGAAGGTAGGGGAGGGTCAACAGCCACAGCACATCATCCATGTATTGTTGGACATTATGGTGCCCTGAATACAAACTAGAAGTAACCTGGAATCATACACAACTGCGCCCCAAATCATGATGCCGCATTGTCACTTGGTGGGGATGTTCTACTGTTCCTGCTGGATTAGACATGTCTCTACATTGACACACACTCGTATACGGCAATTATCATTGGAGAAACATAAACATAACTCATCTGAGCACATGACTCTGTGCCACTCCATCTTCCGCATCCCTCGAGCCCAGCATCATTGCAGAAGTTGGCATCTATGATTTGGAGTCAATGGCAGTCTTCTTAATGGCCACCATGAGTGCAGGCCACTATCCATCAATCAATGGTTCTTGTCAATATAGGAATATCCAAGGAGTCTTGAACATGCTGCAGAATGGAATTAGAAGTGGCTTAAGAGTGCCCCACCGCTTATCGGCAAATCCGTCAATCCCTGTGTGCTGACGTCACTTTGGCTGCACCAGCACTGCCCGAACTTGCCACATTTCCTTGTTCCAAATATCATTGCCACAGCTGGTGCACTGTAGACGCATCCAGGTGTGTGTGTAAGCTGAGATTTGCCATATGGACCAACCTTCCCTTCTCAGTCCTATCACCATTGCCCCTCGTAAAATCATCTGTCTCCTAGAACTGCCTATGTTGACAACAGTTTGGCATTCTCTGCTATTACATGTGTCCTCTGAGAGAAGAATAAATTTTCTATGATGATTTCCTGAGCAGAAATAATAGCACGAAAAGTAATCATTCTGCAGGTTCCTTCCCTTATATCTTCTTTCAAAGTATGCTGGACAGCTGCATATTTCACATCATTTGCATAACTCAGTGGCATGCATCTACCGTGAAACTAGCATAAATTTCGAGCCACTCCTTCTTGGTGTTATATTTTCGATGTTGGGTAGTGTATATTGTTAATATTGCTTAATATAATATAAATTGCAAAGTTGTTTATATTTCTCGATATCTTATTAGAATATAAGTTTCTTTTGAAAAAAAAATATTCTGATAATTACCCGCAGTTTAAACATAATTATTTTTCATTTATTGTGCTCTTAATGTAACCCCATCCTTTCAAATTGAATTATTTGTATAATTTTCCATTCTCAATTTCAGGACACTAAAATTAGTAAAGAAAAGGGGGAATACAAGAGGAAATATGGTATTTCAGTCATACAGTTCTGTATCTCATTTATAAAAACTTTGAATACTAAATACAAATTTACTTACTTAGAAATCTTTATATAGATAAGCGGCTTAAGTGTGTGTCACCGATAGTTTATTGTTGCCACTCGGAAAAATGAGCATGGAAATGAACATTTCCGCTGTTTTTAATTAATATCTCGGTTGATTAAAGTCATACGAAGATGAGAACGCTATCGATGGATTCGGAGAATATTTTGGAATCCGAAGATACGCGTCTTGAATTTCAATTCGACGCCGTTTGGTAGATATTCGAGAAAAAAGAATTTGGCACATAGCCGAATTCCTCTAATAGGGAACACCCAAGAAAGAACGTGGAAAATGTAGGGAAAACGTAGGAGGAAATTAGTTTTTAATTAATATCTCCGCTAATTAAAGTCCCAAGAAGACGTGAATGGTCAAAATGGTGTGCCACGGACCTGCGGAATCCAACAGTGTGCTTCGCTAAGCCCGGGAACCAGCCGTTTTGGAGGAGATGATGTTACTTCACCCCAAATATATATGTAAGGCTTAAGTGTCTGTTTGTTGCCGATAGTTTATTGGTTGCTTGCGTAACTGTACTAGCCAATGGAGTGAAGTTGCGACAGCACAGGGTTGCCATTTAATTGAGATGTAGACAATTTCCTGTAAAACTTGCCTTTGCTATGATCATCAATAAGTCTCAGGGCCAAATGCTTAAGTGTGTTGGCATTTTTTTCCCCTGAGCCTGCATTTGGACACGGTCAACTTTATGTTGCCTGTTCAAGAGTTCGTGAAAGAATACACGTAAAATTAAAAATAATTGATGGTTCTCTGCAAGGTGAGCTTAAAAATGATGCCAAGATCTACACAAGAAATGCTGTGTACAAAGAGATCTTTGACATGTGAATTAATACTTTATTATTTAAATCGCCTTTATGTATTGAACTAGCGGTGGCTCTTAAGAAATGTACTGTCAGTGGTTTCCTTCACTGCACTCTAAACAATTAAGCAAGTAGAAGGAGGAAACACCTCGGGGCAGTAAGCAAAGGGGTGTCCTCTCTGCCTGCCCTGGGTAATTCAGTTTGAATTAGCAGACACTTTTGCACAAATCATTTTAATTATAATTTATAATATCTAGAATGACGGTCATTTCGTATGACAGCAGGGTTTTTTAGTTTATATATAATGAGCTATACCACATCAATCTAAATACAAAGAACACAACTGAATGACTGCAGGCCTCAATCATTATAACAAGATAAATTATTTCTTGGAATGCACTGAAATCATACAATCATACCAAATAACTTTACTTGCTGTAAAATGATTCAATTACTTTATGAAATCTTATAAAATTTCTAGTAATTACTTTAAACAGAACAGTCTGTAAGACTAATTAAAATCAAAACTAATTCATGTTTAATGAAGTATGCATTTTATTTTATCTTTGAAAATCTTTAAAAAAAACTAAGCTGCAATAATTTATTACATGCATATATATGCAAAATACATAATTGTTTATTACATATTGCTTGTAAAATATTATACTCAAATCAATTATTAAAATATCACTAGGGAACTGAATAATGAATTACATGTCTGATTAGTATCTTTTTTAATTTAATAAAAATATAACAAAAAATAATTTTTTAATTATAAAAAGACTAACACAGTATCTTCTAACCAACTATGGAAATTACTCATTTTTTGTATTAAGAAACATGCCATGTGGGAAACACTTGCATAAATTTGCTAGTATGCTTGCTATTTGGAAGTCTTTCTATATTTTTTTTACTCATTATGTTTCACTCATGTTAATTGTTTCTACATAGGCTAATCATATATAGATTATGTCTCAGAGGTAAACTACACTCTGTTACATTTAAAATAGGAACCTCAAGGTTATTTTCTGCAGCCTGGTTTGGCTCATAACCATGAGTACAACAGCTGAAGATAAAAAGTTAAGTCATTTAATCCCCCCCCAAACAAACACACACTTGATTTCCATTTAGCATGTTATATTTCATAAAAAGCACACATATAGAGAGAGGCTAACTTTAACTAGAGCCTCAGATGATGTGGAGAAAATAAATGCTGTTCACTGATGAGGACATAAATTATAATTGCAAATTAGAGGGCAGGTAATAACCTTGAAGTTCATATTTTAAAGTAATAGACTACAGGCATGAAACAGATTATGCATGCATAATTGATTGAGAAAATAGACTATGCTTGCAAAACTGACTCTGAAGAAAGTAAGGGAAAATGAATAACAAACAAATGATTATTAAATGGTGATTGGCAAGGACAAACAAACTTTAAAATAAGACAGGAACTAAAATAATATTTGAAAAGCAGTCTATCACAAAATACTGTAGAAAATATGGTATAATGTTCAGACACTTGAAAAATTTCATTAATTCACTATTCAGTATTAAAGTACATCTATATCCCAAAGAAATTGCAAAATTATTCAAAAAACTGTTTAAAAGTATTTTCTTCAGATTAAAAAAAAAAAATTGCTACTGAATTTTCTTAAAAAGGTTTATTAAATACAAATGCATTTAAAACAAAAAGTTACATTGCACTACTATATAATTTTCTCCTAAATGAAAAAATAATCTAACCTAGCAACACTTACTGTTGAAAAGGCCAGAAATTATAAATAGCAACTTTCGTATTCAAATATTTTATCATGGTACCTAAACGAACCTGTTTCTTATGAATGTAGAGATTATTAATCATAATTCACAAAAACACTAATATTAAGTGCAGGTCTGGGCCACTCCACAACACTCATATATTCGACAAGCTGATCAAACTGACTATACAGGAAGTACAATGAAATCTAATACTGTTATGGTAATGAAATATATTTTAATTTGAAAACCAACTTCAACAAAATACTGAATGAAAATTCACAAACAATTTTAAATTTGATGATACAAATTGTTTTTGAAAATAAGATTCAAAGAGACAAAAAGACTCACCTTTCCAATGTAAGACAAATTTGACTCTTTTCCTAAAATTTTTGTAATACTTTCACAATAGTTAACATTTTGAAGAGATTCACATCCTATGACTTTATATTTCTCTATTAACATAGAAACAGAGTTTGATAAATCTCTTAAGAAAATATTATCAGCAGAAGAATCTAAAACACGCATAGGGAAAAAGCAGCCATCCTGACAGATCCATGTCAATAACTGGATAGTTGTGTATCTTACAACTTCAACATCACATTCTAAAAATTTTAAAATTAAAGTCGAAAGCTCAGAAGCACTAATCTCATTCTGGCATTTCATTTCACTTGTTACTCTGTGTTCAGTATCTGTGCATAAAGGCATATTAGATGATGATATATTTTGTAGCTGAATCATTTGAAATAGTATATACACAACAGCAAACGTTAAATAATGATCTTTGTCAGGAATAATAGAAATTATTTCAAGTTCTGTTAATATAGCATCCAGCACTCTTCTCATTAAATAGAAATCTAAAAAAAAGAAAAGTACATATTTTTTATTATTTTCTCAAGTATTAGCAAAGACTAGCAAGAATTATAATACAGCCATAATCAATTTTGCATATACAAAATTAATATTTTTAATCAGTACTTAAAATAAAAGCACATAACTCTCTCAACAGTGAAAACATTTTAGTTTGCTCCTAAAATATGTATTCCTTTCATAAACATAACCTTCAGAAATATATTACTCTCTTACTTTCTTTAATGATCTTTAAATAATCTTTCTGTAATTTGTAAATCATTCTCAAGATAAATAGGTTGTCAAAATAAACAGTAAAATATCCTATGAATTAAGGTATATCAAGCATATAATTGAAGTAGCTCATAAGTGGTTCCTTTAAATTTGATTCTTGAAGGGATAAAGAGAATTTTATATGAAATATATTTCGCACGAAATAACTTACCCAGTGGCACAATATTTAACATCATTACAATGATTAAAATTTCCATGAATGCAGCTCTGATGCTGTAACATGCATTTGATCTACAAAAGAGATGTAAGAAAAGATCAAAAAAGTTGTTCTTAATGAACTAGCACAAATGTAATTGTAATTGCAAAAAAAAAAAAAAAAAAAAAAAAAAACATATGTAAAAGCATAATGCATAATGTATAACAATGAAAATATAAGCCAGTGATCATAATGAAAATACAGTTTCTGATTTCTGAGATCATTTCTCTTATAGACATGCTGAGCTGATTATAAGTCATCATATAATTAGAGCCTGCACTTAATAAAATTACCAACGTGTTTACAAAAATGTAGATTTAACAAAATCTATCACACATGCTTAGATAGCATGTTATTTACTTGCTCTATGTATGACCTAAAATTCTATCATACTTTGATACAATCTCCTTTGCTCATATACTATTATTAAATTCTGTTACAAAACAGCAATGAAGTCATTGGTAATCATGAAATAAAAAAGATGACACAATACCTCAAATAATTGCATCATTCTGTAACTGATATCCCTTAAATAAGTTTAACCTTTTAAAGTCCCAACTGTAATGTTTATTTAAAATAACAAGTCATAAAAGTATTATTAAATTGATTTCATAGAATGTACTGAGAGAAACTTTTTACAATCTTATCAACTTATGTTGCTTGGATATGGCAAAAGCACATTAGGCTAAAACACATACCAACCTGCGGGGAAGAGATACCTTCATGGAGAAATTTCTAATGAAAACTGGCTCATACTCACATTACGCATACAGAAAACCATCAAAACCAGTTATGTGCCAGCCTATTCACCTGGAATCAAGCTCCCAGCATTCTTAACCCATGGATGAATCCAATCTCATTACCATGATATGATTACAAGAATTTTATTCTTGCCACATGAATACATTTACTTCAAAATTAAATATGTACATGAAAATATTTACCTCAGCATTACATCAAAATGTGATGAAATCCACAACTGCAAATTGCATTCCAAACCTTTCCTTTGAAAAGATGGAATATTTAAACATTCTTTCAATATATATAAAATCTGCAAAGACAGACAGCAAATTATGGAAAAGAACAGCATAAGTTATTCAAATAATAATGTGGAACTAAGCATATTTGAATTTGCAGAATTACGCAAATAAAATATCAAAGAAACAAAAATTACAGAATTATGCAAATACACAAATAATCAGTTGTTCAGTCAGTGTTCATATAATAAAATGCATGCTCGTTTATTTTCAAAATTATCAGTAATTAAAAAATATTAAAGGCCTGGTGGCGGATAGTGCATCGCAAAGCAGCAACACGGGTCCGGGGTTCGATTCTCAGGCTGGGCAAGGTCGACTCAGCCTTTCATCCCTTAGCTCAATAAAATGAATACCAAGTTTGCTTGGGGACTAAACACTGGGGGTCCTGTGACAAGCTGACCACTTGGTCAGGGCATATGCTTACACACCCCAGGGCCCAAGGTCAAAAAAGCAGATTTCGGGCACTGCAGGCCTTGGCCCATTAGGGCTGTTACGCCACTGGGTTTAGTTTAAAAAAATATCAAAGTCCATTTAATAGCGATTATATACATTAGTCTAATAAGATTATATAACATAGCCAAAAAAGGGAAAATAATTCAATATATAGCATGTTCCTGAAGCTCTCTTTTCCCAGATCTGAATACACCAATTAAATATTAATATGAATGCTACCATTTCGATAATCATGCTGCTATTATTGCTAAAATAGATAGTTACATAAAAAATCCCACTTTAAACTGAGGATCCAGTTGAATGGAAAACTATATATAGACTCCTGCAAAATATGATATACGGCAAGAGAGTAAAGAGTGAATATTAGCATGTATAAAATGGTTACCATGAGACTGAAATTTTTATAAATCTATTCTCAAAGCACTTTGTGATGTAGAACCTATATAACAATAATAATAATAATACACTATATATGAAAGGCCCATTATTTTGAATTAAGCAATTTATTTTAATTACAATAACACCTAAAACCCATTCATTCTTTTAGAGCTGGTACATTTCTCACCAAGCCACCCAGACAGTTTAGTGGTTAGGGAAGCCTGACCTGTGATACCGAAGGGCTCAGGTTCAAAGCCCAGAGAAGGCATGAATATAAAATTATCTGCCCCTTCATTCCCTTCCTAAAAGGTAGCAGTGGCCGCATATTAGGTGCCTTTACAATAAAATGGCCAACACTTCTAGGCTTAGTAGTGGCCAATGCTGTTATAGGCAAGTGACTGCCATTGGCAGAAAAAAAATTTTACCAAATCTTCACTGAATACACATTTTTATACATGTGTATTTAATATATAATGCATACATATGCAAAACGTTTTTAATACTAAGAAATATGCATAGGGTGGTTTCATTAAGCTTTAAAATTTTTTCAATGACTATGTTAATATGTGATATTAATGCAATGCTTGAAATAAATTGATTAAAATAGCTTTTAAAAGAAAACATTTAAATTTCATCAAAATTAAACAATCTTTACGTACTTGCAGTAATAATCCATGAATCATATTGTTGCTAAAATTTATTTCTGCATCAGAGGGTATAGAACAAAACAGAGATTGGAGAGTAGCAGTTACATTTTCAATTGAAATCAGAGGAACTAAAGCTTTTGCTGACAAAATTCTAGTCTTCCACACAGGACTACAAGCACATTTACAGAGAAGAGGAATGAAAGATGCTAAACGTGGATCAGATTCTCCAGCAGCTGGGTAAAGTCTTCCGAGTATCAGAAGAATTGGATACATAGTGGGCTCAGTAGAGATACTAAATAAAGAAAAAAAATTTTATGAAAAACTGCATAACTATAACAATAATAAGTACAACAATCACAACAGCAATACTCTGGCACTGACTTTATTAGACTTCTAAATATAGTTTAAATATCTACAAAATATATATGGCTATATTAAAAATTTCCCAGATTAGTATGCGAACAAATGACAGATCAGGGTGGTATTAGCCACAATAACCTTAAATCTTGGTAAACTGATATGCCAAGAAACACTGTTTGTTAGCACTGGAAATTATTATAGTGGTGATTTTGGGATTATGAATGTGTGGTAGTCTGCATTTGCATCATAGAAAGGTAAAAGAACATCCCTTGAAGACAATGAGTAATATGGAAGACATTCTAGGAACATCATATTAGAAAAAAATGAGGAATGAATTTGAGAACTTCTGCATGCCAAATATTAGAGGATGATCCATGACACTCGTATGAAAATCATATTAACAGCTTAAAGATGTGGCATGTGCAAATAGATTCTCCATGCCAGTAATGGACCATATCAAAGTGGTCCTAATTCATATTTTTTTTTTTTTTTTTTTTTTTTTTTTTTTTTTTTTTTTTTTTTTTTGCCAGCCACAACATTTTATTGCTTATGCACCTGCTCTTCTCACCAGATTTAGTTCCTGTTGACTTCCTCCTTTTGCAAAGGTGAACATGCAGCTACACCATCATCAAGATTCAGCTTGAATCATAAAAGATTACGGACTTGTACATGCAAAATGACTTTGAAGTTGTATTCTGGCAGCGACGGGAACACAGGGACACACGTATATTGCTCTCCAAGGTGAAAAAGATTCAAACTGAGGTAAATAATGACTTCTTTGCAGGGCTATGGAGTTGGAATCAGAGTTGGGTAGATTTTTGGGTAAAAGGAGTCGGAATTGGAGTCACTAAAAACATGTCAACTCCAATTCCAGTTTTTGCTGGAGAGTTTAAATTTGAAATGAAATTAAAGTGAATTGGAAAAAAAAAATTAATGACAAACTGAGTTAATATTTTTATTTATGGACTATATACATTAACAAATAGTTATTTTCTATTTTATTGACATATTAATAAATAAATATAAGGGAGCAGGATGGACGTGATATTCGCCATTATTGATTAAACTGATTCATTTAGTTACAAATCTCATTGTTAAATTTAGGTAAGCAGCAACAGCAGCAAGAACTCTCAAAATTGATGCCATTTTTAGGAAGCAAGCAGAAAAAGGAGCTATTATTGATCGAGCAACGTGATGAAGAAGTACATGTTTGATGATATGGTGGTTGTTAGAATTAAGAACTTTTTCAGAAGATGTAAATAACCCTAATGTTTCACTAACAGAAAGACTGTGGAATGATCTTGCAGAATTGGAAAATCTTCTTTCAACACTGTATATAGCCACAAGAAAGCTACAATCTGAAGAAGTAACAGGAGGCGAGAATGTTATAAGATGTAGATAACCCTAATGTTTCACTAACGGGAAGACTGTGGAATGATCATTTGAAGAATTAACAGGAGGCGAGAATGGAAGAATGTGATGTTTTTTTCTTTTTGAAATGGAGGGTTAATTGCAGAAGGAATCCTTTCTTCAATGAAGAAAAGAGAAACTAGTTTGCTAGACAATAAGATCTTGCTGGGTTCAGTAGATCCAAAACGCCGAATTTTGTTGGATGATGAACAAATTAAAAAATGCAAAGAAAGCCACCTGTGAACTTTCATTAAAAATGAAATTATTCTCAGAACAACTGGATTATTCAAATCAGGGCAGTCAAACTGCAGACATTGCAATTGAGTCTCTATCATCCTTCTTCCACTTAGGAATTATATTTTGAGAAATATTTGGATAATATTGAGGGTAAGGAAAATAAAGAATCAAGAGCCTTTAGATATAAAAATGAAAAAATACAAACAAGATTTATACATGGCAGAAGAGAAAGAAATTGAAATTGAGAAGAAATAGAGAAATATGATTGCTCTTGCAAGACACCTCTTTTAGAACTTATAAAAATTATTTAGAACTTATAAAATTACTTAGAACTTATAAAAAGTTAAAGGAAGTTTTTATAGTACAGTAACAGCTCTTCCTCCTACTCAAGTTAGCGTGGAAAGACTGTTCTCAGTTCTGAAGTTTATCAAATCGAACGTATGGTCCTCTAACAAAGAAGATCTTGAAGTTATACTATTTCTTAGAAATTACTAATGCCAGTTTTTCCATTTCACAATAAATGCTAATTAATAAAATAATTTACTATACATCAATTTTTTCTGTAGCATCTATTACTTCTTTTATATTAAAAAAATAAGCTGTAACCCATGTTTACATATATATGAGGGAGTCAGAGTCGGAGTTTTTAAAATTCCAAGAGTCGGTGTCGGTCATTTTCCTTACCGACTACACAGCACAGCTTCTTTGTTGAGAGAGCTAGGTCAAGAACTTTTTTATAAATCTGAATAGATCTACTACAGTAGAACCTCTCATGGAGACAACATCCGGACCTCAAAGCCACCACCACCCAATTTTTTTTAAGGATTTTTTTTTTGGGGGGGAATGCCTTATGTATGTGCATTTGATTCTTTCTTCCTCTTAATAAAACATGTGGAGGGTCCCAATTCTTAATCTCACTTTGTCACTAAACAGAATGACTCATTATGAAGAAATAATCATTTTTGCATAAATTTCTGTGATCAATAATTTAACTCCGTAGCAACGTATCTGCTCGGCATACATCTCAAACCGAAACATTCTACTCAGAAAATATTGCTACAAATAGTGAAGAAAGTGGCAAAGAGGTTACTGAGAAAAAAAAATTTGATTGACAAGTTAGGCAGAATTCTTGACAGAACAATTCAAGGACCTGAACAATTAGTAACTGAACAAGAAATTATACATCCATAAAATTAAAGAGAAAGTGTTAGCACAAAAAACAAAGGGACTTAAACAACTTAAATTGAAAGAAATGTTTAATAAAGTAAACACATAAATATTAAGCTCCTTTTTTAGTCCAAAGGGGCTTTGTCCCTGAGGGACAATCATTTTCGTTTTGGCATTTTGTGTTGAAATACTTAAAAGGCTCTATCAATTTTCAAATTGCTGCCACCAAATATTATCGCCCTGTATTATATTTGAAGAAATTAAATTATGAGGAATCTGCATAAAAGCATGTATGTCTCTCGCATTGTGATAAAACAATGTTACCTAGAGCCATTAAATTTCGAATGACGTAATCCTACTGCAAATATGGGCATTTGGAAGCCCAAATTTGAAATTTTAATTTGTTTTGTTATCAATTTCATATCTTGTAAAACTTTAACAAATTTCTGATTAACAAACTCAAGGATTTCAAAGCGAGCGATAGCAACGTTGTACAGAAAAAACATTTTTATCTCCAGCACGTGAAACTGCGTATAAAAAATTCTAAAGATATGATCAGTTTAAAATTATTTTGCGATATTGCTCTTGAATTTGAATTTTATGGTTTAAGTGCGAAAAACATGGTATTTAATAAATAAGGGTAACACACAAAATGTTGAAAAAAAAAAAAAGCCCCTTTGGATGTAATTTAAAATCTGAAACCATTCAGATTTTTATTTCATTTATTTATTTTTTATTTGATTATTATTATTATTATTATGCCATCTTAGTAGATTTAAAATGATCTACTATCCAGAAAAATACCAAATCCGGGATCACCGAAGTCCTGACGAGTCCGGATCTCGGATTTCGTACTGTTCAGAAAAATTATACATTCAAGACTTTTTAAATGAGAAAGTTAAAACATATATTTTTACTGAATTGCAAATAATATTGAAATAATATAATAATATAGACAGCAACACAATTAATGCCAAAAAAAGTTGCATTAATTTTAAACTTTTTTATAATTTAACTTTTATTCCTTTTAATGAAGTAAAATCATTAGCAGTTTTTTTAAATGGTCTATGTCCGGAAGTTTTCTTGATGAAATCTTGAATATTCTTGATCTTCTTGCTCTTATGTAATTTTTTTAATTACTGTTATTTTAAGTGCAATGAAACATCTTTCCCTGTAAGCAACATTAAAAATATTTTTAATGCTGCTTTCATGTTCAGATACCATTGAAGTAAACCATAGTTGTGAATTATTTTAAATGTTCTAAGCTTTTAAACATGTTGTTTTAGTATCTGAAAACAGTAAAATAGTTTGGTTTTTAATACTAGATATTTCTGACTGAATTTCTATAGTACAGTCAAATACCGAAAATCCACCGACCCCAAATCCGCCAACTCCTGAAATCCGCGTTGCCTCTCAAAACATAAACATTCAGTTTATAAGTTTATAGGTTCTGGAAATCGCAACATGGAGTACGAAATATCGAAGAAAAAATACTTACCGAATAATGACATCATAATTACCGAATAATAATGAGTCATAACAGAAATATCAAATTATTGACATCATGATAGAAGTTTTTTTCCTCTCCAATCTGCATCGAGGTAAATAAGCAGACGATTTGCTCAACTCTTCTTTCAAGTTCACGTTTCACATTCTTGTATTTTCTGAGCTGTTATTTCATGAGATTGCTTAGTGCTGTCTTTTTTTTTAATCCAGATATTTTGTGGATAAATTATGAATATTTTTAATTTCAGCGCTTTTTAATACATTGAAAGATAAGAAATGCACTTGTGGTTTTACTGCTTGAAACGTTGAAAAACATAAACACGTGGCATTGACAGTGATGCAAAAAGTGGAAATTCTGCAAAAGATAGAGGCAGGTGCTTCTCCTCGGTTTATAGCAGAATTGTATAGAATTGCGACACAGACTATGTATGATATATGGAAAAATAAAGACAAGCTGTTAAAATTTTAGAGCAACAGTGATTCTAACACTGGAATCTGAAACCAGAAATCTTTGCATGAGGGAAAATCAAAAAAACCTTGATGCTGTCTTCGAGTGATTTTGGCAGCGGCAGAGTGATGGGGTACCAATTTCAGGACCGCTCCTGAGAGAAAAGGGAAAGCAGAATCATGCTGTTTTAAAAAAGAGAAGCTGTGCTGATTTAAAAATAGAGGAGTCTAATGTAAATGAATAATATAATCAATTTATATATATAATAATAATTTAATGCATATAATAAATTATTGTAATATATATAATAATTTAATTAAATGCATCTAATATGCCTTATTTATTTTGCACTTTTAGTCTGAATATTATGATTTATCTTTTCTGTCCTGAAATCCGCAAAATCCTAAAATCCGTAAAACCTCTGGTCCCAAGCTTTGCGAATTTCTGGACTTCTACTGTATTTATATTATCTGGATAGTTAAGAGTTAAATACATAAGTTGCTGTCTTTAAATTATCTAAATCTAATTAAATTAATTTTTCATATCATGATTTCAATTCTGAGATTAAAACATATAGTATTTCTTTAATTTTTTCACTATGAAAAACTGTCATTTCAATAATGGTAAAATTTTTCTGAACATATAAAATATCTCTATTAAATGAATTATTGGCAATAATTACTTTGAAAACAAGAACACTAACTTAAGACATAAGAATAATACCCTTAATTTAAAAGTGGCTAATACACAACTCTCGTACATTCATTTTTGTATAAAAAAAATTGTTTGGCCATGCTACCTATAGCAAATTATATCTCATGCATCAATACTAGCTGTGGTTTATTAATGCCTCAAAATCCATAACAACTCTTAATTTATAGTAATAATTTTATGTAGATTATAACATTAATGCAAAATGATTATGATTTTCATGGTTAAAACCATTTGATTTCTGAAAGGTATGAATAAACACATGCAAAGTAAGCATGATTTTTCATGATAAAAGCATTTGATTTTCTGAACGACACTCGAACATGGTTTGATCTCTGATTTGAATTCTGTTAAGTGCAATGAATTCTACATCATCTTCGTTTTTCTTTAATTCACCTTTATTACAGATCAGCAAATAATCCCTTTCAATATATTAAGCTTTCATTTTAAGAGATATTCCTGATAACAAAAATCCTTTTCAGCAACTGCTACACAATAAGTTCTTGCTTTTTCATTAGTATTCGTGTCCACAATTAGCTGAACAGGTAACACTGATAATGTTTCTTGTTATGGCTCATGACAATTGGATTGGCAGGATATAATTCCCAGATTTTTTCCCAATATATAACGTCAACAGAACATCCTTCATAAAAGTATCCCTCCTAAAGTAACTAGCCCCACATGCTTCATTATAAACAATTAATCAAAAAAAAATAGTAGTTAATATTTACAACCTTTTATCAGTGAAATGAATATTTATTGTAAGAAAGGTTTATTAGTTTCAGCACAACTTTATATAACATCTAATTTAAAGATGGCCAGGACAACAGCTGTCAGATAATACTTTTATAGATTGAGGTTCTGATCATTTTTTCACAATATAATCAAAACTTAACAAGATTTAATCAAAATTTTAAAATTAACAAGATTTAATCAAAATTGTAAAATTAACAAGATTTAATAACACTTCATACTTTCTCTTCAATTTTATCTCACCTCAACAGATAGCTCAAGGGGCTTCAATGTATTCATGACTAATTTTTTTCACAGCAGTAAACAGATTTGCCACCCCTGCTCTAATTAACAACCTAACTTTCAATAAATACATTCTTTCTATCAGTTATCTTATAAATAATAGAATGAAATTTAACTTTTTAAAACATGTTCTTTTATATCGATATCAGTCATATTAGAATTAGCCAGAATGATTTTTCATACATTCCACAAAAACTTAAAATTCTAACCTCTTTTTTTTATAGTTCCTTCATATTAAACAACTCGATCTATTATTTTATTACAAATGACTGAACAACACATAAAGAGAATTCATGGTTTACCTTATAAGTTTAGATTCCATTCTTGACAAAAAGTGAGAAATTTGAATAACGAGCCCATTCTTTAAAAAATCTGTCCAGCAACATGTGTAACTGCTCCAGATATGTAATTATCAAGCTCACAGTGCTGGTGCAACAAAACAAACTCTCGAACTAACCATTTTGTTTGGTAGCCAAATTTACAGCTACATTGCATTTTCAAATATTCTTTTTCTATGCATTCCTTGTGGGTAAACTGTAGGCAATTGAGTTGCCATCCATAGTCGGTTACAGGACTTTGGAGAGCTTGTTATAGCAATATAAGATCAATAAAAACTATATTTGAAACTACAGGGAGGTAGTGCAGTATTACTAATGCTGGCAGTAAGGTGATTTTTAAGCAAGTTTAGTCTTTTGCATTCAACAAGTGCAAATGAACTGCAGTAGTTTAATTCCAACAATAAATTTTAATGTTAGAAAATAATATATATAATATTGTGAAACCTCAGCACATTTCAAAATAAATTAATGTGATTAATTCTTCTCTTGATTTAATTGTGTTAATTATGACAAACTTCTTTTGATGCATCTTGATATGTTCAAAAATTGAAACTTAATAATCATAATTTCTTCTTTACAATGAACTTCTAAATTTTTATAGTTAATTTGCCACCCCTTCTAGTTGTTCAACTCAGGCAAGTGCCTCAATTATCTTGCCCTTGTTCCGACTCTGTAAAGGCAAATAAAAAATTACCATGAACTGAATAAAATAATAATATCAAGAGAAATAGTTTTACACTATTACTACTGCTTTGAGAGCTCAAAAGCTTTTTAAGTATTTATTAATTTTTTGTGACATTTAAATAAATTCACTGTAATTAATTTTTGGCATTATATATTTTAATAGTGTAATAATCCATTAACTCTTACCTTCTTGTGTTACTCTGATTAAATGAGAGCACACACTGCTCCAATTCATCATGCAGGAAAAAATACATATCTTTATAATTTGAAAAGAATGCTTTCCCAGTTAATCTGTTTTTCTTCCCAGCCTCATCATGGGATCGGTTAACACCAAATATTCTAATCATTAATGCACTAAACAGTAAAGTTGAGGAATTCCGTACCTATAAAAAAGACACTTATAAGTAAGTACTTTAGTAGTTACTGAATACTGTATAAAATTACATGCATATATATTTAAAATGCTTATTCATAAATTCAGAATTATTCTAATCATGTAATTTAACAAGTAACTGCTTCTATATATTATGAGACCTTTAAAATAAATTATCAATTTCCCTTCAAAAATTTTACCTAAAAGTATTGTTTCAATTAGAAGAATAAAACCCCAATACTTACTTTCTGACTACATGATTTATTTTTTGAAATTTTTACATATGTAGAAAAACTGCAAACTTCTTCCTGATGTAAAAATTATCAGTCTCCTTTCCTGCATAATCAGCCTGAATGCCACACATAAAAGCAATAATTTTGAACTAATTACTCAGAAACACTTACTGTGATGTCATTTTATGACTTCATTACATTACACATAACCGCATTATTTTACAAAAACAAATACTTCTGAACAGAGAATTTATGTTTACATTACAGAGATTATTACAGGGTCAAAAAGAAAAACTTCACTAAGGAATACTTCTTATTTTACAAAATCAGGAATTTTTCATGCAGAATTCTTTCTAATATAATTCAAATACAATATAACTTAACAAACTAGCATTCACACAGAACATTAATTCATATATTAAATTTCAAGAATCAATAAGAAATATGAGGATAATTACATTGTTGAATATGATAATATACTTTCATTTGAAAGCTATACATGAAAAATTTAAATAAAAAATTGCATTTCCATTTTTATTCATAAATATTTTAAAGAGAAAGCATTTAATATTTGAACAAGAAAAATTCTCTCAGAGAATATGAATGTAAACAATAAAGAAATAGATCTGCAAAATAACAAAGCATTTTTAAAAATATTGTTTAGTTGAAAAGAAAGATTAACTACTCACTGCCCAAAGAGGAGACTTGAAACCTAAAACAGATATTTTCAATCCTTGAGATACAAAAGGCATTACCACTTCTCCAAGATTTGCATCTCGAAACAAAGCTCTTAATATGTTTAAAGCATGAACCTACAATTTAAATACATTAGTTCATCAATGAGTATACAAATGTAGTATAAGTTACACTCAATAACAGAACTGCAAATGATACAATTTATATTTTGACTTAACATCTTTAGTGGAATCCTTTTTTTGAATCACTACTTACATTACAAGTATGTTACATTGTGCTACTATGACTTGACAAAAGTAGCAAAATATGTCATTGCTGATAATATGGGCATACACACAAGTAGTAAGTATTGCTATTGCAAGGGCCATAGCCTTTACCATTCACATGGCCTGACAAGCAACCAGTTTCCAGAATGTTGCCATTTGGTGCAATGTAAAATTTTTATCTTTCAAATTATATTTGCTTAACAAGCTGATCAATTTGAAAGCAATAAGCGTCTTAATAATTAAAATCACTATTTCATTTAATTTAAAATGTATTTAATTTATTATATATCATATAATGATTATGAACATTTGCATTATTTCTGTAATTAATAAAAAAAAGTCTCTAAATCACATATTATGTACTTCAGTACAGAATCTTTAAGAGGAGGAAGATGCTTCTATTTAAATTTTTAGAAGAAATTTTACTGGATTTCTTGCTTAAAAGAAGTCATAAAAATGTTACTGAACTGTGAATGATTATTCGGGTTATATTTGCTTTCATTTACTTTTATATTCAAAAACTATTCATTCCACATCATTGCTAATTTATTATTCCTGATATAGAAATTAACGTCTGTAAATAATCTGCTGAAATTACAATCACTTTACTTAGCTTTTTCAATGATTATTTAATTGAGTCATACATATCTCTACATAAACTTATATAAACGTTAAATGCACTCTTCTGCTATACCATACATTTTCCAACAAATTATAAAATAAGAGTTTATTCTTAATATTTCAGTCCCTATAATATTTTATGTTTCTTTTCCAATGTTTATCCAATATACAAAATATTACAGTAACCTACAAATACAGGGTTTGTACACATTTCTGCATGTGGAAATTAAGTACTTTTAAAAAAGACTGAGGACGTTCTGCTAATAGGAAGTGAATAAACTAAAGCAATTATCTGCACCTACACTTCACTTTTGTAATTTTTAAGAATAAAGTAAATCTGCAAATGGAATGCATTGTTATTAAACTTATTCTAATATCCAAATTAATAATAAAACAAAATCAAGAATAAAATTAATTTCATAATTTTTTCAAGTAATTAGCATTAAATTATAAAAATTTTTTTAAAGATTTATATTTTGCATTTATAACAGTCACACATATTTTAAAGAAGATTAGTGATTTTTTATTTAAATTGTACTAACAGCTAGCTTTATACTTATTCTTTCTTTTATGCCTCATTTTGTCAGACACTTGCTCAGGCCAAAGATTTATGCAAATTTATGTCTGAGATAAGTTACATTGAAAGGAAAAATAAGAATTAACATAACTCATAGCAGAAGTTTAGCTGCTGCCTCTGGCTGCTTGCTTAGAGAGCCACTGTTCAGAAAAGACAAGTATGCCTGACGCTGATACGGTTGATAAGTGTTGAAATTTAGCTGTGCTTTGTCTGACTCAGTTAGTGTCATTGCTTTGTGCAGGTCTGCTGGAGTTCTAACCCAGTTAATAGTATAGAGTATTTAAAACAAAGTTCAAATAAGCTGTTGAAGTACCAGAAGTGATAGATTGTTTTGTATTACTTCCAAGTATCATTAGTTATAAGGAATAAAGTTTTATATTAATTTTTACATTTTTGTGTTGTATCTTACATCCACAGTAAGGATTAAAGAAAGAAAATAACTCACTTTAACATAGAGAGATAACTTTAAGGTAAGAAGTTAGTTATAAATAATTAAAGGTAAGAAGTTAGTCATAAATAATTAAATTACGAATCCTTAGTATTAAATATCCTTGATCATAAGAGATTTACACAGTTACAATTACGATTTATTTTTGTTCCTAAAATATATCCCTTAAAAAAGCACTAAGAACATTTCACAGTAGTTATAATTGATTAATTGGCCAGTTGATTGTAAATTGATACTCGTACAAACATTTAAATACATTAAAAGCTACAAAACATTTATATTTTGTACAGGAAAATATTTATGCATTTTTTTTTTAATTTGGAAACTCTCCAGACATTTTAGGTTTGGTTTGGTTTAGTTTATTATGGCAAAGCTTGTTAGGGCTATCTGCCTAAGATAGGACTTTCTAAGGAAAACTGGCTGGTATACATTACACATGGGGAAAACCCCGAAAACACCCATGCAGCCAGCCCGTTTGCCTCGATTCAAACCCAGGTCCAGACATTTTATGTCAATTTACTTACATCAATTTCCTTCACTTTAGCATCTTCTTGCTTATTTGTTTCAATAAATAAGTCAAGGTTCCAACTAGTCTCTGCTTCATCTCCTAATTTTGTAATGTTTCTTTGAAGTCCCTGAATGCACCTCTGAAGAATAACTTATTCTCTTTTATAAAATATATTTCTTCTTCAATGAATTTCTCCTTAATTTCAGAATTTTCTAATTTAATTAAAGATTTCAGTTGCTTGTATTTAGAATGCATAGAAACAACTCTTAATAATATGAGTATTACGAATAAATCTGAAATAATATAAGGTCAGGGCCGGCAAGAGAGCCAATAGGGCAGAACTTTTAGAATTTAGTGAAGCACCAAGCAACAAAATCTAGGGATACCAAAAACTTTAGAATTTAGGGCAGGCACTGAGGTAGGTATAGTGTACTGAGACATATAAGATAAATCTTTTAATAAATTGTTAGTTTTCAATTTCTTTGCATTTTTTAGTGCTTCTGTCTAATGGAAAAATAAGAAAATAAAGTAAACATGCTAAAAGAAATACTTCTCGAATCAAGAGGAGAAAATTGAAATAATTTTGTTTTCACTATTTTCCCAAAAATTCTTCAAAAGATAAGAAAATCATCATAAATTTTCTATGAAACACGTCCATTAAGTGTTAATATCTTGAAATTTTTCTGGAATTGTACATCTATAAATCCTGCCTTTAAATCCTTCTAAATCTCTTGAGATGCTAGGTTTAAAATTCTTACCAACTCTGTAAGATCAAACAGCTAAATGATATTTTTAGGGGTAAAAAATTTATGAAAAAATTTAATTCTGAAGAGAAAACTGATACACATTTAGATATTTTGACACAATTACAAGAAAACTCTTATAAAAAATATAAAAGAAGACAAATGAAATTAAAATATTCTCAAGAGAGTTTCAGAAACAGCTTTTTATTTATAGCATTTATTATTTTGTTTATTTTTCAAAATCAAAATAATCCTAAATCACAAACATTAAAAGTAATGTCAATTTAAAATAAGGCAGGAGAAAATAAAAATATTTTATTTTAGCATTATTTCTTTAATATAATTTTAATATATTATCATTATTTATTATGATATTTATCAACGTTATTATGCTTGTAAAAAATCGCCCAAAAATTCACAAATCTATAAACAAAACATTTTGTATGCAAACTGATCATGAAATCGCCAAATTTAACACTGCATAATAAACGAACTCATATTTCAAAAACAGGGAAAAGCTTTCTTGATGTAATATTTTATGAACTATTCATTAAAAAAATTAAATAATTTCAAAGTGTTTATGTTTCAAACAAGGAAGGGCATCGTTCCTAAAACTCAAGTATTCATGATATTTAGTAAAGAATTCAAATGCTAACCCATCAAATACATATTTTTCAATGCATCGCCAAAAAATCCTCAAAATGTTAATTCACACTCATAATGTCAGTTGTAAAAAAACTGACAGAAATGTCCGATAAGTAAAATTAAGGACTTTTCGCCAATTTTGGATGAAATTAACCAACAATTATTTCGAAAACATCTAAGGACTTTTAAGTACTTTTAAAGATCATATGGATCCTGAAATAACAAACATCCAATCAAATGGTTGTCTTATCCTATTTAATAAAATCTAAAATAAAAACTTGAGAATTTTTATTTTTTTTTAAATTCTGAACTTTTCCCTCCCTACTAAAGACTGTGCTTATATAACTATTTCTATGGGAAGGTAAAAGTTGAATATGAAAAATGTATTCTTAATCTAAATGAACCACACTTTTCTTAAATTTTTAGAAATCTTATTCATGTCAGATTTTTACATTTCTCTGCATCTTAAATAAATACAAAAGTTATGAATTTTTGCATGAAAAATTAGCAATTCAACAAAACATTTTGAAACATTTGAAAGTGTTGAATATAATTTGTAATACGTACCCTTAAAGAAAACATGCTATCTTAGAGCACAGATGAATTTTAAGATTATTTAGACATAATTAATCATTCACAGAACAATAAAATATAAAATGCATCATGTTCGTTTAAACTACTTTATTATAACAAAGTTAAAACTGAGATTTATGGGAAAATTTCGAATTTGAAAATTAGTCTAATTTGAATAAAATGTTTCTGCAGAGATAATACATAAACATTAATAAAAATCTTTTAATATCTAAAAGAAAAATGAAATTATATTATAAAAAAATAAAAAAAGCTTATTTCATAAACTAAACTAATTAGTTAGCTAAATTTAAAACAATAATTAAAATATTTTACTATTTTTTACACATTGTAACATAAAAGCAAGCTGTAAAAATTGTAATCAAAAAGAAAATGAGAATTTAAGCTAAAAAATAAATCAAATAACATGTTAATCAATTTCTTGAAATGCTTTTTACTTTTCAGCTAAAACTAAAAAACTAAACTAAACTCGGTGCCACAAACATGAGAGCCATGGCTGGCAGTACCCTGATATCTGCTTTGTAGACCATGGACCCGTGGCTGTACATATTGCCTGGACAAGTGGTCAGCTTGTTACAGGACTTTTTAATACTATATAAAAATAAATATTCTTAATCTATAAATGCTATTAATTATAGCACTTCAACATAATAATAATACTTTATTTTATAATTATTGGTTGAAAAGAGACTTACAACTATTTATCATAATATTAAGCTTTGAAAATACTAAAAATCTAGAATGCAAATTAAATTATTAAAATAACAAGACTTAAATCTGAAAATTACGAGGAAAAAAAATGAAAAAGAAAGAAATAGAAATAAAAAAAATGTGAGAATTTTTTTTTTTTTTTGAAATTATTTTGATTTTTTAAATGATTTAAAAATACTTATGTTACTCACATGCTAATTTATTTTTAACTCATTAGGAAAATATTTTAATATTGCTTTAAATCCATTCTAATTTGATAAAAACAAAGTTAGCAGTTGTATTCAATAGCTGCCCAGATGGGATAGTGGTTACTGATGTTGACAGCCATACTGATAGATTCAAATGGCAGGGAAGGCATGGAAAGGTAAGTGTATAATATCTAGCACTTAAAATACATGATCAATCTTCTCAAGAAGTTAGTGGTAGGAGAACAGGGGTGAGAGACCCTTGGAACACCCCTCCCCCCAGGTGTTCCCTCTCAGAATTCCAAAAATTGAGGCAGAAGCTTAACAGTTAGCTAGGTACAGCAACACCTTAATCACCTAAGACACTACAGAAGTGCTAGCCTAACTTCTACATGTACCTATTCAAGAGTCTGAATTTATATTAAATAAATTTTGAATTCAATTAAATAAAATCTTGAGTTACATCATATTACAAAACAAATATATTATTAATTAATCTTCTTGCACTAGCATCATTATTAAGATGATTTCATAAAACTTTTTATCTAATTATGAATTTTAAAACATATTACATCATACTTGTAAAATGAAGAAGATACAGAGTCAACTGCTATTTTGCAGAAAGTTGTTTAAATGAGGGATGGATAAAAAAAGGCTTACCTGTGCATCAGAATTATTTTGGTTTTCATCGTCAGCAAGACTGAGGAAAGTAGACATAGTTTCCTTAAGAAATGATGAGTTTCCAATTCCAGGTTCAGATGCTAACAAAGCCTACCAAAAAAAGAAAAAAAAAATTAAATGCATTGTCTGCAAATTTTATTTTTGTAATTATGGGCTATAGCATATGATTATTAGTTTACTTTTCTGTATGGAACTGAAAAGCAGAAATTACATGCTCACTCATTTCTGCAAAAAATTAGTGTTTTACATATTGTAATTGATATAATGTTTAATAAAAACACTTAAATGCAATTTTTCATCATTTCTGATTACTGCCTGAAACAATATCAAGTGAAGTTAACTACAGAATTTCTTTGCAAATGATTAGTTATTATTCACTATTTAAAATTTAAAATTTAAATAGCAGATTAACTATAAAAATAATTAAATAATTCTTAAAACATAGTTCTATAAACAATGAAAATATCATTATAAACATGTTATTACATGCAGAAATCAAGTACAACTACAAAACTCTACATGCATGTACACTCAAGTTCCAATTTCACAAATTTTTATTTATTGGAAGAGAAACATGCAAGTTAAAATTTTAAATCTAGCAAAAAAACACCCTCCCTCTCCCCCACAGAAAATTTGGTACATATTTTGAATAAACTCTATCAGTTTCATGGGTGATCAGACATAGGTCTCTCTTCTTCAGAAGGAAAACAATGTATTTGCTCCTGCAGAAAGCATGGATATCATTAAAAGTGGTGAATTACATTCAAACAAATCAGCACAGATAATTTTAAAACTTCAGTTAAAATGCCACTGTTAAGCTTAAAAAAATCTTAAGCTGAAACTTTATTATTCATTTTCCTATAAAATGTGATAACAAAACTGGCTAAAATAAATACAGGGACATTATTCATCTGTATGGAAAGAAGAAGAATGACCTGCTCCCGATTGCCCTTGAAACTGATAAGAATTTTATTCAAAATCTACACCAAGCTAAGGTTGCTTCGTTTTCTTAACCCATTTCCAAATTGTATTTACTCTTCTCAATTTAATGAATTTTTTGGTTATAAATTACAACAAAAAATTTCAGTGTAATAAATATTTCCCTCCAATTTTACAAACTGTCAAAATTTTCAAAACTTTTATATTTTTAGGGATTTGTAAAAAATTTTGCTGAAAGTAATCTAAGATGTTTTCCTAGACTGAAGATGGCCTTGCTCAAGACTTATGCAACTAAATGGCATCAAATGCTGTCAAGAACAATTTCAAAAAAGCATGATTTTATTACAAGGTCAATCAAATATGATTTACTTCACTATAACAAAGAAATGTGAATATACTATGAAAGAGCAGAATGAAATTTCACAGGTCTATCAATTTTCAGATCATGCATCATTTGATACATAATTTATCAATTCTGAAGATATAGTGTGATGACAACAAAATATGCAAAGAATCTGATATTAGGAAAGAGCAAAATTATATTAGGAAATGATATTAGGAAAGAACAAAATATGCAAAGAATCTGATATTAGGAAAGAGCAAAAAACATAATAAATCACGCAAACAGCTTACTTCTAAAGACTGAAAAAAAAATCCATAATGAAATAGGAAAATGAAGTATTTAATGCCTTCTCCCTCTAAAATAAATAATGGCAAAGAATTTTGGAGAATAAAAATCCTGAAACAAGTATACATATATAATGATTTATCTGTAAATAATCTGATGATGAAAGATAGCTTGAAACTATTGAATAGATGGAATGACATTTGCTGAGTTCAATACATAATTTATTCCTGGACATTTTTTATATATATTTTCAATCACACATTATTAATTTCTTAGGACACTTATTCTCTATTTTCACAACACTGTGGATGCTATAAGCCCCCCATAATTATATATATATGCATATCTTTAAACGCTAGATGAAAACAGTGAAGCAATTAATTACATGTTTTCAAAGCAAGAGCAGCTGAGAAAAGTGACTGCATACATTGCGGCTGGGGCATTTATGGACCCAACTTCTTTGCTTCAGTTTTGAATGGTGATTGGACTATAGCATTGCAGATCACTGCAGATGAAATTAATGACATAAGTGATGCAGTCCAGATTCCAAGATGGGCATGTAGCCAAATTAAAAGAGCTATTGTCAATTAAGTTAGAAATTTGTTAGTTTTCTAACATATATACATAAAACACTGTAAATATTTTCTTAAAAATTAAATACTTATAGTATAAATCTGAAATCTTATACATATATGTGTAAGATTTATAAGTATTTACAGTATTAAGCAAAAGTTTATGATGTAAATAAAAGTGTATCATTATGTTATATTTCAAATATGTTTCTTTTATTCATTTTATTGAAAACTTAACAAGTAGCTAAGCCACAATTCTTTGTTTCATTTCATAGCTAAATGACTATTTTAATTTCACCAAATTTAACAAATAATTTCGATTCAAAGAGTTTCCGTAGTTCATTCTGGGTCATTCATCAAATCTCAATTCAACAGTAGGCACACTGTATTTCTTTTAAGAACTGTACCTGTTCAAGCTATATTTTTGGACAAATATGTGAATGAATATTCTAATGGCCGATTCTAAATACACAGGGAGATATATTGCCGAACAAGTGTTTCTGCAGAAGTTGCAGATGTTGTTGAACATCTGCAACAGCCCATCTACACAAGGAATCATATCTCTGATACGTCAGATACATGTCTACGGTGCCTGGGCCAAAAGTAGTGCTCATTGTTCATAATAGGATACAAAGTTGTGGCACAGTTACAGCAACAGCGAATGAAAGTGCATACGGAAATCACATGTCCAAAAAGCAATGATGAATCAGCATTTTGCTTACTAAATAAATAATGCCACGTATTGTTTGGAGTTTTGTAACTAATTTAACAAACGTAATTTATGATACAATGTTTATTTCAAATCATAATTTCTGATAGATTTCTTTAAAAATGATAGAATATTTTTTATCACCTTAATGCAAGTGATTTGTTATTCTAAGTTATAAAGCAGATGTTCTCAACCAGAAAAAATTATCCCCCTTTTCAGGAGTAAATACAGTCAGCCTTCCATTTAGCTGTTAAGCATTTAGTTTTAATTTATGAATATGAAAAACTACTTTCATTCAAGTTTTGATATTTATCAACATTTTTGTTTTTAAATTTATAAAATATGTTAAATAATAATCTATATTTAAATACATGTATATATGTAACTTTCAAGTTTAGAAAGGAGTAGTATGATCTAACAATGGTGATAGGGCGAAAAAGGCTGAGAACCACTGCTATGGAGAAATGTATTTTTTTACCTCATTTGTTAACATTAACTAAATCTGGTAGAATATTTTTTCCTTTTTAACCCCTTCCAGCGTGCATCCCATATATACATTCCCTACAAATGTCTGTCCTAGCTGGGCATCCTACCCAAGCATCCCTAAAAAATTCGCCAGGATGGGTTTGTGATGCATATGTGCATTTTAAGCTGAATCCTTTTTTAAAGATGATGGCATCCTGTGTCCATTACTCTTGAATATAGCATAGTTTTAGGATCCTGACCTTCAATTTTATCACATTCTGTATACCATTGGTGTCAGCTGTTGTGGGGAAGGTGGGACAACATAATGTAAATAAACAAAGCTCAGCTCTTTAACTTGTTATGCGATATAAACATCCATGCTTCTGATGTCCCCTTTTAATTCTTTTTTTCATTATTATGTAGGGTTTTTTAGGGTTACCATGTGAGATTCTGTTATGCTCTGCATTGCTTTTATCGCTTACATTTTGTATACTTCCTTTTTATTATGAAAAGCCTTGACTTCAGGTAATTATGGCAAGCTAGTGTTATCTATCAGAGAAAAGATTTATTTGCAGGATAAATGAGTTAATCGGTGACATGCATGAGAGTGATAAATTATTTTCTAAACAGTGATATTTTTAGTGAATCTGATACAGACATTTTGTCAGAGATTGAGCTCACTAAGTGCCTGCCTTCCATAGTCTTGAAGTAGTTTTATTAATTTTAATGTTTATTAATGTACTACTTTGTCAACTGAAACCTTAAAATAATTTCAATAGCATTTCTAAAAATTATTTCTCAGAGTAAGCAATTTTTTTAGTAATTTTTATTTTTGATTTTCTGTTCATATTCTGTTGTTAATGATGATTTTTTCAACTTTTGGACTACATCTATGTAGCTTGATCACTTAGTATATCTACTAATTAATTAAATTTTGCATATACCAGCAGATTATGAGTTTGAATTCATCTGAGTTATACTCCGATTTTTCCACTGAAAATAAATGTTTTATTGTTTCAGCAATTAACAGAATTCTCTTAATATAAAAATTGTTTACATATAATGATAATAATGTTTGTTATTTCACTAATGCATAAAATTTTATATAATTAATTCCAATAATACATAATAATTTTATATTAATTGTAAATAATTATTTAATAAACTGAAAAAATACAAACTTGAATAATAAAAGGAAGACCTGCACTTCTTCTTGTTGGACACAACTGTATGTTTTCTTTTAATCCTCTAATTGCTAGCAAAAGGTCCCCTAACCACACTTTTGGCAATTCTTGAAGTTTCAGAAAAGGTGATCTATAAAAAGACATCACAAAACAAGATATGCCTAAAGAGTTTAAAAAATCAAATATGTATAACATAAAATACCATCATATTATTATTTTAATCAGTTTATTACTTAAAAGAACTAATCTAGAATTATAATCCACTCCTTTTCTTCATATATAAACTATAATTGGTAAAGTTATGCTTTAAAACATTACATTATTCTGATTTAAGATCTTTGCTCGCTCCCTCAATTTCTAGTCATATTTCGTGACTTTCTTTTTTAAATCACAAATATTATTTAATTCCTTTCTTCTATTTTTATGCAATGATATATGAGAAATATAAGCAGCCATAGGGCTGATAATTATTAAAAGTAGCGAAATAATTTTCAGAATAGCAGATATTTTATTAACAATCTTATAGCCATTAAAATGTAATACATTTGACATGTCATATAACTTTATATAAAAAGGTTCAATTTTTCTACCCAATTCAACAAATAAACTATATACATAATTTCCTCATAAGTATAAATACAAACAATCCTTCATAAATATCAGTACGGTAAGGGGGGAAGGACAACTAGTGTATAAACAATACTGTACACCAATATTCAAATCATTAATAAATATTACACAATAATATCAAAAAAATTAATGGATAATAATAAAAAATATAATTCTCATAGTTTTACTTTTGCATACTTCAAATTAGTAGAAATTATGCATAATATCATTAAATTTAAAATTTCATAAATTAAAAAAAAAATTCTTACCTCCAAAGCTTACCACATAACTTGCTGAAGCCAATATATGCTTGTTCAAATGCCCCCTTGTGTTTTACCAAGCTCATCTGGCGAGTAAAATACTCGCCAATTTTTTCAACCTGGAATAAAGTTCAACATTTTACATAATTTAAACTACCTTCATATAAAGTAATACTGAAATAATTTCAAATACCTCAGTATAAAGTAATACTTAAATAATGAAGTTGATCACTGATAATTCAGGAATAAACACATAATTCAACTCCCATTTTATGACAATTCAGTTTTTGATGTACCAGACATATGCTGACTTAAAAATGAGCACGAAATGGGGAGAAGGGGGGATTCTACTTAAAATAAAAAGATTAGGGAAAAGAAAAAGTAACACATTAAACACCAAGCCTTTCCCCCCCCCTACAGCTGGTCTCTACAAATTGACACACTATTTAATAGGCATTTTGTGTAAAAGATTAATTATGAACCTTGTCCATAGTCAACTCTTAACAGCTAAAGTCTTTGATAACCTATCCACGTCATTCCAACCAGCTTAATTTGAAATCATTCAACATCACAATTAGTGTTCAGCTGTAAATGAAGGCATTAGCTCAACCTGTCGGATTTCAAAACAATGAGGTTTGTATTTTGTATTTACTTTCCTTTAAATTATACTTATAATTTTACAATACTTATTACTTTTACTTTTTGGCCACTAATAAATTGTTGTTAGTTTAGTTTCATGAGAGTGGCAGCAGGGCAATTCATAGAATTAGGTAAATATGTTTCTTAGTTAGTTAGGCTTATTGAAGATTAATTATATGTTATATACCTGAGTGATGTTTTATTAAATAAATGAATACTTTAGAATATAGTAGTCTCTTTAGAGTCCTTGATACGCTGATAGCGTAATAGTTTGATGTGTAAGTGAACATTTTAGTGGTACCCTCGGTGGGACACAAGAGATGTTAGTTTGGAATTCTAAAGTATAAAAATGGAAGCTATTAAACTTGAAAAGAAGATTCACAGAGCTGCTTTTACAAAAGCCTTCAATGTTTTAGAAGAAATTTTAAAGAAAAGTGACATAAATTCTTCTGAATTACAGTCGGAGCTTAATGTTTTCGCTTCGAAAGTTCAACGTTTGGAAGATACGCACGTACGTTATCTTAGCACGCTGTCCGGAAACGAAATTGAAGCAGAATTCGATATTATTGAAGATTATTGTGACAAGGGCGTTAGAATCGAAACTAAAGTGAAAGATATTCTTCAGAATCTACGAAATGTAAGTACTTCAAATTTAATTTTGAATGAATCTGTTAATGAGAATGCATGTAAACGTACATTTAAACTTACAAAGCTTGAATTACGAAAATTTGATGGTGAAATTAAGGAATGGTTATTTTTCGAGTCAATTTGAAAAAAATAACAAAGATACTATGATTTCTGATAGTGATAAATTTCAATATTTATTACAAGCGACTGTTGAGGGTTCGCGTGCAAGGGAGGTTATAGAAAGTTTTCCTCCAACATCTGTTAATTATCCCAAGGCCACAGAATGTTTGAAGGCTCGTTTTGGTCGAAATGACTTGCAAGTGGAAGTTTATGTGAGAGAATTGTTGAAATTGGTCCTGAAAAATGCAAATTCTAGTAATTTCTGTAATAACTTATGTGCATTATATGATAATTTGGAACAACAAATTCGGGCTCTGGAAACCCTTGGCATCACTACAGATAAAAGTGCTGCATTACTTTATCCTTTGGTTGAATCTTGCTTGCCTGAGGATTTTTTAAGGGCCTATAAAAGAAGTGCAAATGCTGACCATGGTCCAGACCCTAAATGTAGACTGGACAGTTTATTAAAATTTTTGAAATCAGAAGTAGAATCCGAAGAATGCATAAGTTTAGCTATGGCTGGTTTTGGTTTGAAGAACGAAGACCTGGGGAATTAAATCTATGAAAACTGTTCACGATCGACCATCAAGTGCGTGTTTTGCTGCGGAAAACATGATTCATTTAATTGTTTTAAGGCTAAAAAAATGCCATTTTCAGAGAGGCAAAAACTCTTAAAAGATACAGGGCACTGCTTTCGCTGTTGAAAGGCTGGTCATTGTGCAAATAAATGCAGAAGTTCTATTAAATGTGCAATTTGCCATAAAAATCACAGCGTAATTATGTGTTTAGAACTGCTTAAAAATAAAACAAATGTTAAGAAGCCTATGTTAAACAGCAATGAAAAAGAAACTAGCAAGGAAGAAAGTTCTGTAAATCTTTCTAGCATTACCAACACACCACAAGTACTTTTGAAAACCCTGAAAGTAAAAATAATTGGAAATAATTCTACACTTTATGTTCGAGCTTTATATGACACAGGATCTCAAAAATCGTATTTAAGGATAGATTTAATTTCTACTCTAGGCCTGATACCTTCTAGACAAGAGATTTTAAGTCACGCCCCTTTTGGAGGAGAATGAACACCTGAAAATGTGCATAATGTCTACAAAATTAAGCTAAAGAGTTTAGATGATAATTTTACTTGTACTTTTGATATTTATGAGCAAGATACAATTTGTGATGCTGTACCTTCTGCCTTAAATGGACCTTAGATTAAAGAGCTCCAGTCCATGAATATACCATTTTATGTCACTGAAGATTCATCAGGGCCTATTGATCTTTTAATTGGTGCAGATGTGGCTGGTCGACTTTTCATCGACAGAAAAAGAGTACTTTCTAGTGGAATTGTAGCCATAGAAAATTACCTGGGCTGGACATTGATCGGTAAAACATCAGTGAATGCTGAAAGGGAAGATATGGTGATGACGGTTGTAACAATGTTTGCGAAAGATGCCAATATTCCTGACCTTTTTTCCTTACATAGCTTAGGAATATCCGATACAGTCGAAGTAAAATCACGAAAGGAAAAAGAATTTATTATGAAGAAATATTTTCAAGAGAGACTAAGAATTAAGGATGATAGGCCGTACGAAGTTGCCTTACCGCAGAAAGATGATCATTTGCCTCTCCTCACTAACAAAGATATAGCGATAAGAAGACTTGAAGTCTCAACAAAAAGTCTGAATTCAGAAAAATTATTTGATACCTATGATGATGTCTTTAAAAAAGGGACTGAATTGGGAATAATAGATAATGCCAGAGATGAGCATTCACACCTTCCTGGGATCCAGAATCCAGCTGATTTGTCTTCTCGAAGATGTTCCGCTAGACAACTGTTATCAACCAAATGGTGGGAGGGACCCACTTGGTTATTAGAATCATCATCTAACTGGCCTGTCACAGAACAAAATATTGATGAATATTCTATAGCTAATGAAAAGAGAAAAACAAAATCTGATGAGCACTCTTCTATCTGTTCTCCAAGTTACTCAAACACTTGTAGCCTCAAAACTGATGAAAAGTAAAATAATGGATACAGACATTACAGATTAAGTTGGTACAATTATTATTTTTCAAGCTATGACAAAGTGACATGGTTGATTGCTTTGATAAAAAGATTTATCTTTAATTATCTAAATGCAAATTCTTTGCGAATTATTGGCGAGTTTTCTTTGGGTGAACTGACAAAATATAAAGTCAGGAAAAAAAATTGTGGCCCCATCCAAATACAGTTGAAATGTATTTTGCATTTTGCTGAAGCAGGTCCTTTTTCAGTGATTGATTATTCAAGATCAGATTTATGGACACCAGGAACAGTAGCATATGGAATATATGGAGGACCCAATCCTTTTCGTTCGGTAAATTCTTGTTTGAAAAATGACTCATATGATGAAAGTGATTTACCTCCTCTTCCATCAAAAGCACCACCAGTAATACAGAAATTTGGTCAGAAGTATTCTGCATTGAAAACCAGGAGTGGGTGAGAAGTCAGGACTATCCAAAGAATAGACTTATAGACTTGACAAAATTATTGTACTTTAATTCAGTTCTTTTATGTTTTTCCATTAAGTTTTTCTTTAATATTTCTAATAGGTTAAGTTGTTTCCCAACAACTTAAGGTGGGAGGATGTTGGATTTCAAAACAATGCAGTTTGTATTTTGTATTTACTTTCTTTAAATTATACTTATAATTTTACAATACTTATTACTTTTACTTTTTGGCCACTAATAATTGTTGTTAGTTTAGTTTCATGAGAGTGGCAGCACGGCAATTCATAGAATTAGGTAAATATGTTTCTGTAGTTAGTTAGGCTTATTGAAGATTAATTATATGTTATATACCTGAGTGGTGTTTTATTAAATAAATGAGTACTTTAGAACATAGTAGTCTCTTTAGAGTCCTTGATACGCTGGTAGCGTAATAGTTTGACGTGTAAGCGAACCTTTTCCTGAACCTTATTCGAGAAGGCAATAACCTATCCATGTCATTCCATCCAGCTTAATTTGAAATCATTCAACATCACAATTAGTGTTCAGCTGTAAATGAAGGCATTAGCTCAACCAATATTACAATTCCAAGCATACATTTAGCACCCTTTTTGTTATTACAAAAAAAAAAAAAAAGTACTTTTTTAAAAATTGTTTCATAATCAGAAGCTAAGATTTTTATTTATTACTTTAAAATATAACACACACATATATTACAAACAGCCTTAAGTTTTCTGACTAAAAAACACTAAACCAGTCACTCTTTGCTACGTATCAGTACTCTAAAAATGAAGAAAATTGAAATGATAGCTTATTATTAATACCAATCTAACAGAAACCCAATATGTGGATAATTAACTCTATTAATTACTATTTGAAATCAAAATACTATTTTGTTTTTCGTCACATACGACTTTGTGGATTTGGAGTGAATGACAACAGCACTTGATGAAGTATCGAAACACAATTTATTAGCCAGTATTAATCAAGACAGCTACAATAACATGTTTACAGTTGTCAGAGAAATACTATAAACACACTGGAACAATCAGCGACACAGCCTCCAGGCTATCAGGCGATAACGGTGAAGACAGCTTTATGGCAAAACAGAGTACAGCTCCCGACTCTGCTCGGTCGTTCTTGGAGCTCAACACATTCTAAGATAAAACTTGACAATGCACTAACTCACGATACACTAAGAGACTCTCTCGTTGCACTTGACAACCAACTAGACTACAAGACACTT